TGTAACATTTGCAAAACAATAAGTGCATTTCTCGAAAAACAGTTCCTACAAAAAGCACCACATGATGGCCTGATCACCAGCAAAAGCCTGTAACTTTCTCAAATTCCTTAGTTCATCCCGCAAAAGTAAATATTTATGTCGATGAACTTGTCAGTGCCACCAGAATGAAAAGACCTTGTGTGTGTGTAAGTATGCATACATATGTGTGTATGCTGCAGTATATCTACAGTATGTAACTGTCTAAAGTACGTTTACTGTATGCTATAAAATTATTGTTTGCTTTTGAGACATTAGTTCATTGTTTTGGGTGAGTTACGGCTTTTTGCAGCTTAACCTTACTGTCATGCTATATGCAGGAACTGTTCTGAGAAATGCTCTTATAGTCACGAGAAAGTTGAGTATGTTTCATAAAATGTGCCGAAGCAATCGAGAAAAACTAATAAAGGTGATTCAAGAAATGTACCAAAGAGGCTGAGAAAAACTAACCTAATAGAGAAACTGTCTGGTTAGTTAGTGAAAGTACAGCATTTGGTCTTATGTCCTTGGCATTGAAATCTTCCCCTGAAATGTGTGATGCGAATCGAGGCTGCGTGTTTGGCTGCAGAGAGGTGTGGGGCTGCCTTCTGGTCACTACTTGGTGATAAATTGGATTTGGTGCTCAAGGAGGACCCCAGATGGGCCAGGCAGACGCAAACTGGCATTCAGGCTTCGCTGGCAATGTCTCCATTTTGAAATCCAGTTTGAAATGTTCTCCCGCTAATTTCCACCTATGGCCACGAGTTCTTGTATTTGAACTAATGCTGAAATAACCTAACGTTGAATTATGCGAATGGGGGCTGCAGTGTGGGACCTGGGGCCGAGTTTCCAGCATGGGTTTGCATCTTGTCATCATGGGGTCTCCTCCAGTATCTCTCCACTCTCCAAAAACATGCTAAGGTGAGTTGGTGCTGCCGAATGGTATGTGTGTGTGCCCTGTTACTCCCTGCCTGGTGTTCACTGGCTCCACACCCCCAGGACAGTGAGCATGTGCACTGTCTGATACTAGCCAGAGTAAGATGAGTCTGGTTTCTCCAAATGATTCTTCTGTCCTTGTTTACCGTCGCCTCTCTGGAACCTTTGGGCTCAGGATTCTGTAAAACACTTCATGACAATGCTCAGTACCACTTTACAATAAGACTCCCTTTTGCCACTTATAAGTAACTCATTCATTTAAAAAACTGCTAAAACATGTTTATAATTGTCTATTCATTTCAAAGTGTTACAACCTAATTAACAACCTGACTATAAACCATTCAGAAACCCTTTATTCTCTTATTGTAAAGTGGTAAGCAGTGCTCCTTTTAAAAGAACTACCTAAATAAAACTTATTTGAATATCCTCCTGAGACCCAAGGAAAAAAGTGTCCTTCAGTTTTAGGTTAATTGTGATTTTCTATGTCTTTGGAGGAAATAAGACATCTTACAATTTAGATTTTTTCAATTTTATTTTTAATTTCACAGCATGTCCTCTTTAGTGTACAACAGTAATAAATATGTTTCCTTACATCAGTGAAAAGATAGACGCAAAAACAACATGTCCACTACAATGGACATAAATGAATGGGTGAGATCTCAGGAGGATATTGAAAATAATTCCATCCATCCATTATCTGCCGCTTATCCCAAATCGGGTCTAAGGAGGGAATCCCAGACCTGCCTCTCACCAGTCACCTCCTCCAGCTCCCCTGGGGGATAACAGTTCCCAGGCCAGCCATGACATAAAATCTCTCCGGTGTCCTGGGTCTCCTCCTGGTTGAACATGCCTGAAACACCTCCTCAGAGAGATGTTTTGGAGGAATCATAGATATATGTGGTGTGGTGTTCATGGATTGCTGCCACGACAAGCACTAACAACCTAATGGCCAATGGAATCAGCAATGGAATCCCAGAACAAGGCCCATTCGGACTGACTATCCCCTGACTCCCTCGGGATGCAAGAGAAGTTCTACTAGAGTTCTGCAAGTTCTGCAGTTAAAGATCTCCCGGACAGGGGCCTCCACCAAACCCTCACTATACTTTTGGGTCGACCAGATCTATCTGGCATCTTCTCCCACCATGTGATCCAAATCACCACTAACTAGTGATGTTGGCAGCTCAGCTCTCTTCACCCCGAGTGTCCAAAACATGCGGCAGCAGATTCAATGATACGATTACAAAATCGATTACACTGCACAACCAAGTTTTTTGCTTCTTGAACAGTGTTCGGTGTTCCTTATAGATTTTTCGCTGCTGATCACGAAAATCACATCCAAATTTGGCCATCACGTAGTTTCAGTTTTGTCATGTTTTTTTCTTATATTTGTGTCCAAAATTTTTCGTTTCTGCAACAGACCTGGCAACAATGTTTTGTACAGTCTGGGAATGTCCAGGCATGGAATCAGGCCAGGTTGGAAACTATTCTGTGGAAGTTTGGACCCTGGGCATGCCTGAGCATGCCTGGACAGGCCGGAGCCAGCTTGACACTGTCTCAGCAGGCTATAAAAGTGGCTTACATACACAGATGCTGCTCAGTGGGTTAATATAGAACTGATAGTGTGTATGTATTGTTTCAGAATTACCTTAGTAGCAATGTAACAAGTAAGGTGGATGCTACAGACATTTGCAGGACGATTGGTGTCGGTCGATATGTCTCGTCAATGTCGTAACAGCCGCGATACATTCTGCTATATTTGTGGTGAATATACGCTTGCACTTCAGAGTTTCTCAATGAGTGCTCGTGAAGAAAGCATATCATCTGTGCTTTGGCTGTAAAATCAGTGATCAAGACAAGTAATGGGTGCCTCACATTTGTTGTGCGACATGTGCTGTCTGTCTGAGAGCCTGGCTAAGAGGCACTCGAAAGACAATGTCGTTTGCCCTCCCGGTGATATGGCAAGAACAGAAAGACCATGTGACGGACTGTTACTTCTGTCTGACTAATGTGTCTGGTTTCTCTGCCAAAAACAATTAGTCAACTAAATAGCCTAATCTGCCTTCAGCAATGAGACACCGTGCCACATGACCAGAGTCTTCCAATTCCGAAACCACCAGAGGAATGGACCTTAGACAAGCCAGATGAAGAAACTGCAATACAGGGAACTGGCAGTGACAATGATCTGGATTTTGAACCTTGCTCATCAAAGTGGTGATGGAGTGGTGGCTCTGAGGCTAGGGAACTGTGCTAGTAATTGGAAGGTCCAGTGTGATTCTCTGCTGTTGGGCCCTTGAGCAAGGCCCTTAACTTGCAATTGTTTCACTCTGGGTATGATGTTAATCTACATCTAGCCCTGCAAGGAGGTTCTCTACCTTTCTGGGTTGGCACTCCAACCACTAAGAAAAAAAAACCTCACACTGGTCCAAATGGTATCAGCTGCCACATGACTGCACTCAGGTTCTCGTCCCTGTGGTGGGTGTGGCAACACGCTATAATCAGTGCATGCGCCTTACCTCCTCCCTTGTCAGGTGATCCATGTCTCGTAACACACTCAGAATTAAATGATCTGGTCAGAGATTTGGGTCTGTTGAGAACAAAAGCTGAATTGCTGGGTTTGAGACTACAGGAATGGTGTCTGCTGTCACCTGGTATGAAAATTTCAGCTGACAACAGTTGGGCACTGCAGCGTGATGCACCTGGCATATAAATCGAGAACAAAACACTCCTAATTATGTTGAACGTGATAGCATATATGAAACATGATTAAATGTTATTGCGGGTAAACAGTTAACTGTCTTTGTACGTGATGCAGCAAAACCGAAACTATATTTGTGCATACCCAGCAGGTACCTGTTACAATCAGCAAAAACTTTTCAGGGAGCAAAACTTTTCAAAAAACTGTCGTGCAGTGTTATCAAACTGCAGAGGGTGCACTGGTGCCAAGCGCATTTATGAACCTTTATGTTCGAACATGGTATTCATTATGGACAAACCATGATTAGCAGAGAAGTTGAATAACAGAGCACCAGTCAGGTTCTCATTGGGCAGATCATGTCTCCCAATCACACCCTTCCAGGCGTCACTCTCGCTACTCACATGAGCATTAAAATCCCCCAGTGGGGGGGGGGGCACCTTCCAGTCCCCACCTCCAAGGTCTCAAAGACCGGATACTCTGAACTGGTGTTTGGTGCATATGCACAGACAAGAGTCAGATCCCATACCAACTTGAAGGCAAAGGTAGGTGACCCTCTCGTTCACCAGGGTAAACACACCAGCACTGAACTGGGGGGTTATAAAGTAAACCCACCCCTGCCCAGTGCCTCTTACCAAGGGCAACTTCAGAATGGAATAGAGTCAAGTCCCTCTCCAGGACTTCGATTTCAGAGCCTGAGCCATGCATTGAGGTGAACCTGACTACATCTAATTGGTCTCTCTAGCTCAGGGGTTTCAAACTGCAGTCCTGGAGGGCCGGAGCCCTGCACAGTTTTTGGTTTACCTTCCTTTAACACACTTGATTCAACTCACCTGAGAGGTTACATTCCTTGTACCAAGAGTTAATTTTGGTAGCCAAAGATCGGTCTGTCGAGGCTCCTGCCTTCAACAGCCACCGGATCTACGCTGCACCAGACACCCATGGCTCCCCCTGCAGGTGGTGGGCCCACAGAAGGTTGGACCCATGCTCTTCTCTTGGGTTCTGCAGGGTCAAGCCCCGTGGGTAGAGGTCTGGCTACTAGGTGCCCACAAACCACACCCCCCCCCACACCCACCCGCAGACCTGGCTCCAGGGCGGGGCCCCAGTCTCCCCAACACAGACAGGGTCACATCTTCCTGAATGTTTTCCATCATGGGGGTGTTCTGAATCATATATATATATAAATAACAGCATGGTTTAAATATGTTTTATATGTCTTACAATCACAATATTGGTATAATGTATCAGAAAGTTTAATAAAGAATATAGATGAAGTTCAATGTCCCATTTAAATATACCTTTAAATATTCCTAACATTTGCGTCACTGGAAATTCACAACTTCGCCATGGACAGAAATTTTAGATTTTAAAAAAGGAAAAAATTTATTAAGGCATAAAAAATAATTTTTTTCTTAAACCAAGAGAGCCAAAATAATACAATTGTTCTGCTCTGAGGTTACAACGTTTATAAATTTGGAAAATAAAATATATTTGTTTTAAAATTTCTTCAATTTTACAAATTGCCAACAGGTTTACATGGGCATCAACTAAGAAATGAATATAACTGGTCACATAATCTGGGATATTTATATCATAAAAAGTAAATTACATTAAAAATTGTGAGGAAAATTAGCTACTGCCTTGCAGCATAAACGCATGCAATTTAACTTACAAATAACAAATATTTAAAAATACAACTGCCCTTGAATACACCACTAAAATCCCAGGACATTTATCTGGAAATTCAGTTAAGCCTGGACATTTTCTAATGAGAAAAACCTTTGGTTCTTCTTAAAATAAATGTAAATCAGAGTGTTTGGGACCGAAAGTCTCGGTCTCACAGAAGGCAGCCACATTCCTAAAGACCTACTCTACAAACTCTTCAAAGCCAATTTTATGTCTCCAGGTCAGAGATTCCTTTACAGCTGCCAAAACCTTGGGTCACCAAGTAAGGCATCACACAAAAGCCAGTTCAATGGCGACAAAAAACACAACACATTTAAACAATGTGTATCTCTCTTTTTACCCCTCCCCCCCGCACCACTTCCTGGGAAACAGCAGACCAAATATACCAAGACAGACTGCCTCCAGTAAGACTCTGGAAGACCTTCCCTTGCGTCATAAAAGAGCATTTACAAAGTACCATGATTTGCTGACTTGAGTAGGTCCCTGGAATGAAGATGCACAAAATGACAGTTTTGGGGATCTGAACCACAATTATGGAGAAATACAGGATATGCTCATAATCCGAATGACATTCTCTGTGTAAAATCCATCCTTTGTATGGCATACGTCTTTAGGATGAAACTCTAATCCCTTACTGCCAAAGCTTCTAATTTGAAGACAGACAAGATGCCTGGTTACATAAAGTACCAAACTTAGGTGGGGTCTTCATTTTACCAGAGATGCCAGGAAATACTATACATTAATTCAAAATAATTTTGTTTGAATAAACAACCATCATACTGATAACATTTTGCTCACTGTGAATGACAGAGGTCAGCTCGGTGGGGGGAAAAATTCCAACCCCTGCAATACACAGTTATACGCAAAAGACCCATTCAAAACCTGGGATGAAAAAAAAACATTCAAATTAAAAAATTACAATGAATAATCAATTCACTTTGCTTGCAATTCAGGATACAAGTAAAAATACAGATTTCTAAGTTCTAGTCATTTGGGGCAACTACTTTATGTAGAAACATTCATACATTAACACCTGTTGATAGTAATGCTTTGGGTTTCTGGAAGCCCTGCATGATCTAGCTGCCACATTCGGTTTAGCTAGTCATCCTCATTATTTTGTCCCACAATGACTGAATGGCAACTGCAGGAACACATGAATCACCCTGGGAAAGATAGCCCTTGCTACAATGGTGTTATGGCTTGTCTGATGCCCACGCAAGCTTTCCCTGCAGAAACTGGGCCAAGCAAAAACTTGACTGTGTAAGTGGATTCCCTAGAACGGTGTTTCCCCAATCTGGTCCGCGGGGACCTGTCGACAGTCCACGTTTTTTGCTAAAAATGTGGACTGTGAGGCAAGGGGCAACCAAGATCCAGGGTGACCCAGATTAAAAAAAAACAAAGCAAAGCAGTGAACCGTACAGTCGGCAGATTTTAATTTCAGCGTAGAGAGAAGTGAGGTTTCTTGTGTGTCACCTTCTGAGACCCCTTTGCAGTGCATAAAAAAATCATCAATCCAAATGTCTATGATCTTCAAAAATACATGTAAACTGATACAAAACCAACCTATAGCCAAGTACCTAAGAGTTATCGGTTGTGCCCCTGAAGACGAAAGCAACACCACTGGGAGAATCCCACTGCATGAAACACACACTTAAATGTGCAAGAATTTCGTAAAATCTATATCATTTTTAGTTTAAAAGGCTGCACATTGATTTGTTAGTGAACTGATAAGCAGTAAGTTTCTCCTCAATGATGTAAGCAAGTTAACGAATGACAAAAAAAAATAAAAAATAATCGAGCTAAATGAATTCGGTAGGTGGCCTGATTCTCTCAGCCCTCCAGGATGTCATGAGGAAAGAGTGCAGTGGAACGACTCACTGCGGAAAAGCACTGCAGCTGGAAGCTACCGCAAGGAACCAGGACATTAACTCGCCAAATGAAAAGGGAAGCTCCGAGAACGGACGGCAAAAAGCCGATACGCTCGTGGCAGCTAGACAGATCGCTTGACACAACTTACATGAGAACCCTACTACAAATCAGGTACTGTGTTTTCTGTGTAGTTATATTAAAATCAAATATACAAGTTTTGGTCAGACGTGTGCGAATGTGCTGTCATGTTAAATGTCGCTGTACGCAAATGCAACAAAGTGACAAGATTATGGCTGTACCCAAAGGTCGTTCTGAGAATCCAGCAACACACACCAGCCATCAAACTAACTGTCCGACGACAAGCACTTTCAACTTCTACTGTGCCTGCATTACCAGTACAAATATTTCCTAAATTACCCATAGTTCAGGTCAACATATCATCAAGTAAAACATTTATACAGGATAGAACTCTTTAAAAAAATATTTTACCAAAACATTTGATTATTTTCCACTTAGGAAATAAAACTTGAAAGAAAAAACATGTAAGAAGTGCATCAGACCTTCACAGCATAATTGAAAAAATAGCTCCAAGTAACAAAATCCTTAACTGAATTTTTGGGTGAAATACCTGCAGAGATCTGTAGCAAGAAAAAAAAAAACATTCATCTAAATGAAGGACAGCAAAATGGCAATACTTAAGCACGAAGCCTGAAGAAAATAAGACATTGGGTATTTGCACCCAAAAATTCAATTTTGAAACTTTCTATAGAATAATCCACCACTCACATCAGGCAGCATTGCTTATTGTTAACATTATTATGGTGAAGAATAGTATCATTTGTATAATAACAGTTTTAGTGTCATTGCTAAAATGGTCTTGAGTCCCTCCTACAGCATGTTCACAAGCTTGCGTTCGGCAGTCGTTTGGTTAGGACAGACTTCCGAATAGCTCCCTCTGCTGGACACTAAGAGAAGATGCGCATGCACTGCGTGACAGGAGACTGACACTCTGGGCACTCTGGATTGGAGGACTGGCAGATCTGGCCAGCACAGTCCATGCAGAAGAGGTTGTGTCCACACGGCACCAAGGCAGCTGTCACCTCACTCTCAAAGCACACGCAGCAGTGCCTGCCGGGGGCCCCCGCCACCACGGCTCGACCCCTCGATTGGCCCAGCGGCCCCGGGGCCGTAACCCCGCCTTCGGAATCAGTGGGAGAGCCGCCAGAGCAGGAGGAATAGCCGGTGGTGCTGCCTCCGCTGCTGCTGCTGGCGGCGGAGAAGCAGGTGCTCACGCCGCCGGCCTGGAGCCAAGAGAGGGTGCCGAGCGGGTCGCTCTGAGCACGACGAGCCAGCGGCTGCTCCGGGGGGGCGGAGTCGCAAGGCAGAGTGGGTGACAGGCATGGCGTTGCCGCGTCCACACTGAGGGCCCCGCTGTCGCGGCGCTGCTGGGGTCCGCTTGCTAGGGGAGCCCAGATGTTGGCGCTGCCGAACTCGAAGCCGAGCTCCTCCGCAGTCTGGCTCACCAAAGCCCCGTTGGACTCCCCGTTGAAGCTGAACTTGCTACCGGCGCAAAAAGGGCTCGTCGGGCAGCCGGGCTCCGGCACCCCGCGGGGCCCGTCGGAATGCTCGGGGCTCAAGCCGTTGTGGAATGAGCCCCGTGCGGCCTTCCGGCCCGAGTGGCGCAGGGCGGCGGCCGACGTGGGCAGGTGCCTAGACTTGGACCACAGCGGGGCACCGAGGCCCAAAGATCCGAGGCCCTCCAGACTGACATCGGTGCCGTTGCTGTGGAAGTCGGTGTCGCCCTGCAGGTTGATGAAGGCCCCGGTGCGCAGTGTGATGTGCGTCTCGATCTCCTCCCGGGCCCTCTCCACATTCTCGGGCATGCCCGTCACCTCAAACACCGGGTCCTTCTCCCGACTCGGTGTAACTATGTAGGTTTGCGTCTGCTGCTGGATGCGCTTGATAGTGGCCCCCTTGGGGCCCACCACCAGTCCCACCACGCGATACGGCACCCGCACCTGGATGGTGATTTGCCCTGGCAGGTTGGGGGGTCCCGACAGAGTCCCCCCCGCCCCCGGAGATCCTGCCTTGCAGCGGGATGCGCGAATCATAGAGAAATGTTCGGCCGCAGACAGAATCTCGCATTTGGCCATCTCGACATCTTCCCGGCGCCCTGTCACGATGAACACAGGTGGTTCTCCTCGAACTGGGGTCTTAATGTATGTGTTGGTCTTTGCACGTAGGGCCTTGATCTTGCAGCCTAGGTGAGAGTTAAATAGCATCACGTCACATTGCAAAACAGAAAATTACAAAAGGTAAATTCAGTACGTGTTTAATACAGGCTTGCTTAAGAGCTACAGGAGCGGCGTCATAAAATAAATGCGACAAATACAGCTAAAAGGCTAGAATATTGGGCATGACAAAAACATTTTAACAGAAATAAGAAATTAACATAAGCACCACGCACATGGCTAAACCCGTATTAGGCACACTGTCTCTTTAAAAACGCGCGACTAATGCCGGACAGCCAATACAAAGCAGAGTGCGTGATGTCATCATGGGAGAAAGCATGGCATTTTCAAACAAAGAACAATGCCATAATGCTACCATAAAAATAGCTACAAATAATTACAAGCAAACGGGGGTACTTAAATAGGTCTGATGAGTCAATATCAAAAGCAGGCGACGGTGCCCTAAATCTACAGCACACGACAGCAGCCCAGCCTGGATGCAGTTATCGACTATATTCTGCATTAAAATAAAATATCCATAATCAGTATATTCAACCCTGTTCCGACAGCAACAGGAATCAGACTCAAATGAACAATGACTAATAAGTTATATTACTCTCTTATGTAACTCCCGTCGGACACTTATCAATACCAAAACACCAAGCGTCAATCAGCAGGCAGAAGGGATGCCATTTTCAAACGCTGGTCTGATCGGCACGTCGCAGGTACTCTTATGATCGCCAGGACATAAATCGTAGATATAAACCCCGCCCGCCTCACAACAAAACAACCAAGCAGGGTTACAGAACTGCTGTATTCATGACATGGCTTGTTGTCAAATGCGACCATCAGTACACCACAAAAAAAAACTTGCCATTTGTGCACAAAAAAAAAAACTATTCAATAATCTGAGGTTACAAATAAACTCACTCTAAAACTTAATCGTGCGGCAAAGCAAACAAAGGAGCGGTCTGTAAGTTCGCATAAGTGTCTACCGCAGTTTAAGAACAAAGACCCGACAATAAAGTACGGGAAACTGCATCAAGGCCCACTAAAACCGATCAATTTGTTACATAAACAAGTTTAAAACTCAATGTACATGGATCAAAGGTAAAGTATATCTTTAAATATCAGCCAAATTGCCCGATTAGATGCAGCATCACTTAGGTAATATTATGAAGCATTTTGTTAACACTGACATCTCGGGTCCCGATTAAATGGTTAAGTGTCGTATTCTTGCACGGCAAAAAAAATTCTGGATATGCATGATATCTCACCTTGTCTCCCGACAATTTCGGCAACATGTTCCGAGCTCGGCACGGGTACACATTCAGTCATATTAACGCTCCTCTTTCTGCTGCAGTTAGGCTCCATGGGCTGACTATGCGAGCCGGCCATGTGGTATCCACCAGGGCCGTAGTATTCCGGGGAAGGAGAGCAGGAAGTCGGGGATCCAAGCGAACCACCGTCGGCAGGCTCCAGTATCGCCAAACCGACATATCCTCCTCCTACGTTATTACAAACCTCGGAAACGGAGCCCGCGGCGTCAAGGGAATCGCCGAGGCCTCCGACGCCACAATTCGCCTTTTCCATGAGCGATAGCTGGTCGAAGGCGATTCGCAGCGCTTCCTGATGTTGTTCGTCCGCTGGCTCCAATTCAATTTCCCCGGTGAGGCTGAGTCCTGCGCGCTGGCCGCTCACCAGCATCTCACGATCCATAAACTCCGGGTGGAATATAGGACTAGGCATGGCGTGCAGGTCCGAACATGAGACTTCGGGCGGAATCGTGCTTAGCCGAGCTCCAAAACGATTCCTGTGAAATTGGTCAAAATAGAAACAATCATTTTATCCCCCGGACATAAACACTCCCAAGGTTAGTAAGAATATAGCCTTACAGCCGTTGATTTGTGCGTTTGATTAAACTGCAGCAGCACTCGTTTCCAGCAATCCCACTATATTACCAACCTGCCCTGTAAGTTTGTGCATTGTTCGGAGTGATTACACCACCATATACCATAAGTCGAAAGTCACATCTTACTGCTTACGTTATTTCATACATAATCTGAACATCTCCAATGACTTACTCGTTATTTAAGCTGACATACTCGCAATGTCAAAAAGCAAAATAACCACGAATTAAAAGTAAAACGAATTACTAGCTAGCATCTCCCGAGTGCCCTGCTCCCTTACTCCCGGCTAATCACGCTGCCGCTGTCTTTGTTTGAGAAAAGCACAGCTTTCAGTCGAGCTGGATTTCAGTCAATCCAGCTAAGGGACTACAAGTCGTGCTTCTTAAGTAATGATTTGAAGACGCTTTCACGTACCCTCCCTCCGTGGCAATATTTGTTTAATTTTAGGTTCTACAGTTCTGGATTTGGATGCTGAAATAGCGCGGTAGCTAAGCGAACCATTGAGGGGAACTGAAGAAAACCTTTCAGATCTGTAGCACTGGAATTGATAAATGAACTAAAACCCCACGCGCTGCCATTGCTTTTCACATGGCATCATTCTACTCACAATTTTGAACAGCTTCGGTGTTTTTGTGCACACATGAACTCGATATACCTGTATCTAGATTGTGGTTTCCCCTCTTTCCGCTCTCCACCTTTGTCTCGCCAGGATGCACGCTGCTCTGTCCGTTTGCCCGCACGCACCAATGACGTCACATGCGACACAACAATGGGTTCAAAGGTCACAGGACGCACACCGCGTCGACGACACGCCTTTCGGGTTTATGATTGAGGAATTTGTGTTGGTGTATAATTTATGCCGTTCTTTAGATTCGTTTTTCTATATACCTACGTAGCTGAAGGTTTTATACAACGCATGGCTTTTTATAATTGTATTTGTGCAATTCGGGTTTTCCGCTTAGTCTTCTTTAAGTTCACGAGTTTAAGGGATTTATGTCTTAAGGTGCCAAAAAGAAGTCTAAATGGGGTCTAAATCCTGTTGACGAAAAGCACTGAGGTTTATGCTGTCGTAAAACTTTATGACCAAAATAAATAGAGTTTGAAAAACAAACCCAGTCAACTCTCACCTCGACGGTGGATTTTAGTTCTACCCTAGCCTCTCGTATTGTTTGTATTACTATTTTATCATGGGTACTATTCAGATGCAGTTTATGTGTGACTCTGTTTGGCATCTGATTGGAAGCTATTGTAAATCATAATAATTCTCAATGAAAATTCACCTTGGATTTATTGCACACTAATATAAGCACTGGTAAATTTCAGGCCCTCTAGTCAAAGAAGTGGTCATCTTTGGAACCGAAAATAATAATGGAGTTTAAGCCATAATTAAAAGTCTAGAAAAAATCGATGTCATGGGCTTGTTATGTTTAGAATATGTAAATATCAGTTTTATTTTTTTTATTTATAATTAAATGCAAATAAAAAAAATTCCGCATACAAGGACTGAGTAACACGTGCATTTACCAAATGATTCTTACCAATAGTTTCTAGGAAAGTTTATTGGAGTTTATTTCAGGGATCACAAGGTAGGGACAGTGAATAGGGTACCATTCTTTTGCGCGGCCAAACACACATACTATGGTAGGGTTAGGGCCACCATGTCACGTAGCCACTTGTGCTTGGACTGTACAGGAAACATCATGCCCCTAGAGCTGGGGGCTGGAATCAAACCCACAACCCAGGGGGTGCAATGCTACAGTGCTAACCGCTGAGAAACTGGGCTGTCCTCCTCGAGTGCCGTCAAGGAAAACCAAATCTTATACAACACCAGGACCTGTAACGTTTAGTTCTGATGGCTCTCATTAATGGTTATGACTCAAGCTGCTTTCTTCCCCTGTTGTAGGATTAAAAAGGATATTGAGCTGAAGAACCAATCGGCACTTGGCAGAAGTTGTACTGCTGATAGAGGCTGTACTTATGGAAGATGCCTTAGTTCCAGTGGAAGGAACTTTTAATGCTGCAGCATTTGAAGCCATTTTGGACAATTTCATGCTCCCAACTTTGTGGGAATAGTTTGGGGATGGACCCTTCCTGTTCCAACATGACTGCACACCAATGCACAAAACAGGGTCCATAAGGACATTTATGAGCGAGTCTGGTGTGCACAGAGCCCTGACCTCAACCCAGTAGAACACCTATGGGATAAATTACAGCAGAGACTGTGAGCCAGGCCTTCTCATCCAACATCAGTGCCTGACCTCATAAATACTCTCCTGGAAGAATGGTCAAAAATTCCCATAAACACACCTCTAAAACTTGTGGACAGCCTTCCCAGAAGAGCTGAAGCTGTTATAGCTGCAAAGGGGGGGCCAACTCCATATTAAGGCCTATGTATTAAGAATGGGATGTCATTACAGTTCATTTGTGTGTAAAGGCAGATGTCCCAGTACTTTTGGCAACATAGTGTATGTGCCATTTAGTGTTGCAGAGTAGCGTAGCTTGTCTGTCATCAAGCTGACAAATTATTTAGCTTAATTTACTTTCTACAATTCCTGTATGTCAAAATAATTGCTGCTAAAACAATGGTCAGCTCCATCACTTAGACGCATCATGTTACATAATACAGGGATCCCAACTTTGGTCAGCTGGCTGACGTGAGATTTTCAGTTCAAGTCTGCACACACACGCATTTACATGTATATAACAGTTTTAGTACCTTGTAAATATTCTGTACGGTTTGCAAACTACCCCAAAGGTTTAAATGTAGTTCATTTTAGGTTTATAGTGGAATTTGGAGAGTTATAGTGGAATAGATTTGCTGTATGAGCCTGAAAGTGTGCTAGTGTGACTCACATCAGTTGCATGAGAGTTGGCAACTCTAATACATAATATGCATACAGAGCTCATGTAAAAGTAGCAGCTCTAAACTTTAGACTGATTTTATTTATTACATATACTACATTATTTTGAAAAGGAACCATCATTAAAATAAAATAAAGCTTACTAAGTTTCCTTTCCAGTTTTAGCGCGACTTATTGAAGCTTGAACCCACCCAGAAGACTACCTAGCGGCCCTTGAGATGTGTCGGTTGCATGTCTATGAAATGCCATGTTGATATTAACATCACACATTGTACAGGCCTGTCTGGGTGGCAGAACGGCGCGGTGGGTGTTCACCCTGCTTGCTGGCTTTTCTGCAGATGCTCTGGTTTCCTTCCACTGTCCAAACAACATGCAGCTTAAATGAACTAGCATGCTTCACCTGGCCGTATGTGTCACTGAGTGTGCACCCTGCAGTGGTTGGTTGATTCCTACTGGGCCCCAGGCAGTAACAGCCTCGTGTGACTGTTCCTGCATCAGCAATATATTGGATCAGACTGGTGCTCTGGTAAAATAATGCAAATGGTATTACAAGAGAAAAAAATCCTTATAATTTCTCAAATCAGCACAAAATGCTAACATCTCACAGCTGCAGGTCCAGATCAACTGAGCAGAATTTATATTTTCATCTATATTATCGGATGGTACTCGTAAGTTTCGGCTATAGCTTATCAGAAGGTATCTTGCTAATAATTTAATGAACATTTCATTTTCAGTTGATTCTGGATATGATCCCTTTTACTGACCTTAGACAGAATGGTGCAATTATAGGTGAAATTTGCACTTAAACATATAAAGCAAGACATATACTCATTAAAAATAATTGCATCAATGTGCAAAACATTTGCATAAATAAGAACATGTAGTTGGGATGGTGCTGTTGCCTCATACTTTCTGGGTAATGTGTGTTTTGGGTCCCCCAATGTCATATGGTATCCAGGGTGCACCTGGACCTGTGCTGCCTGGGATAGGTGAGTCCCCCGATCCCCAAACTTGGCCAAGACAGGGCTTGGAAAATATTAAAAATATCCAGTTCAGATTCATTGAGATTGCAATAACAGGCAGGAGTTGCATGAGGCCACTCAAGCTCCAACAAAACAAAACTTAATATACACGGATTCCACTTGTGAGCATATGAGCGTTCATACATTTGCTTTATTTGCAAGAGAGTGAAGATGTTCATTCCTGAAGTGAATGATCAGGTCGTTGCACTGATTCGTTCAGTTTGTTCTCCACCCCACTCAACTATTCTAGTCTCTAATCCACATCAATCTCCCCTTTTACATAGAAAACGATCAGCTACCAAGTACAAAACTATGTTTATTGGCACAAACCTGTAAAACTGCAAGGGAATCAAATCTTATTAATTTGTACAAGTAAGAATTTCATGAGACAAACTGGAAAGTTGGGTGTAAGTAGCGTTGAAGTACAAGAATAAGTGTCATTCCTTATGTATCAATCTTAAGTAAAAAATAAAGTGAACGATTCCATATAATGTGTAAATTGTATTAAATGAACTACTTAAATTATGCCCAGCGCCCGTCGGCAAACTCTGTCACTAAAGTTCGAGCAATTCTTACACTACTTCCTTTAAATCAAAAATATTTTCAAAAGGAGCAAGTAAATTCATAAACACCCCCCCCCCCCAAAAAAAAAGTCACACATGCACATACTATGCACACCAATCTAAAGATGTGCAATTTTGTTTATGTATAAAACAAGAGCACAGATTATAGTAAACCTTTATTACAAAGTTTCTTTATGTATACAAGTTTTTAAAACAAGACATTGGGTATATTTGTTATTAAAAATGGCACATTTATTGCTACATTACTGTTATATACAGGACAGTTCAATAACTAGATTATATTTATATATATAATATAAAAATAAAAACCGGGTCTGAGGCACTCTGAGAACAGTTGTGTCCTCAATGAATGTGAGATGGCAAGGTTCCACTTCAGTGTATTTACACTGGGAAGGGAAGAAGGGTTACTGGTGCATTCCATTCAAATCCATTCCCACATTGACAGAATACAACGTGACACGCATGGACATTTAGAGAACACTGGCTGCGCACACAGGTTCGAGCTCAGCTGCATCTGACAAGTTCACTACGCTGGCTTTTAAAGTCAATATTTTGGCAGCTGATTACACAAAGATCAGAGGCCATTTATGTCACTGACAGCACCGGGAGTGTGCAAAAGCAAGCACTGCTCTTCACGTTAAAAACGATCTAAAATTCCATTTCAGGTCAAATTGCAGAGATTGAATTCATAATGAAGTAAAATGCAATACAACTCAGTTGCCTGTATGTTTGCTATAACTCAGCCCAACCCATCCCCAAAAAATTTTCCAGTTACATATGTATGACCCAAAGCAATTCCAAATAACGGCTTTTATAGAAGAATCACACCTTTTCTAAGACACCTCAGAATCTCTGACAATAGGATGTGTTCCTTGACTGGCACACAGCTAGGAATGTGCAGCCCAGGCAACAATAATGATCTGGATGAAACTGGCAGAAGTCACACCTATGAATGCAAGAACACATTAAAATATGCAGCACTGTCCACGTGTCACTTCAAATGCATGGGAAGAAGTGATGCAAGAACCCACCAAACACACAAGGTAGCATGCTAATTCAAAAAGGCCTTATCTACAAACTATGACCCCTAACCCTCCGACATCAGTCATGTCATAGCATGACAACCTCTTGTAAGTGTAAACAGTGCCATGAGCTGCACTCACCTTTTCACCACTGGAGCTCAAAACAGGAAGGAGGGCATCTGATTAAAAAAAAAATAATGACGCAAAACCTAAATAGTACAAGACACGAGAGGCGGAGGGCCCTGCTATAAGCCGTCAAAGCATTTGAAATACAACCGTAAAACACGGCTGTCTCAGAAGTTCCCCAAAACCAAAAACAATAACCACACAATAATAACCACATATTACAACACCAAGGCAGGGGGGGCAGAGTGAAAAAAAAAAACATTTAGGCACTGAGGTATCACTCTCCAGTTTCATGTCTGGCCACATTACCTAACATCTGTTGCTTTCATTTAAAGTTTTACAAACCTTAAAATTAACAGAAGCGGATGGTCATTATCCACTCGGCTCCCACCTGCAGCAAGGTGACTAACAGCTATTCTGCCGCCAGCATTTATTCTTCCAGTCTGATGCATCAGCCTCCCTTGGCCTATTGTCAGCATACAGCGTTAATGCGGATAGTTTCAGCAACCATACAGAAGACCGGACGCATTTACAGGAGCGGACGCCTGCCTATTTGAAACGCCAATCTGCGTCGTACATTCAAAACCAATTGCATATGTAATTTCTACACATTCACCTTAGAGAATTTCACCTTTTTCTTAAAATCGCAATCAAGTCACAAGCCAAGTTGACATTTACACACCTTTCAATGGAGTCTCAGTTCCTTTTCCTGAAGGTGATTTTGATTGCTATATATATTCCACTACATAAGTCATTCAATTTCACCATTTCCAAACCAGCCCACTGAACTATATCGAGCTGTATGCAAGTACTTAAATCTGCAGGGAAACAGTGCTTATTATAGTTGTGAATGGTGGTGGCATTTTCTTTTTCCCTGCATCTTACCTTATCCTGTTTGTCACAATATCCATTGTAAAATGTAATATATGTTATGCAATATAAAAGTTTATGAAAGGATCCATGCATGCTTCGTTTTGCTAGTGGGATGTTGACCAATACTACTCCTTCGCAATCAAAACTGAACGCCACGCTGGCTAGGAGACCTATGCCAAAGCTTTGCTCCTTTAACATCTTGGGATTCCCAGCATTCTCCACGCAGGTGGCCAGGCTGCTTTCCAGTGCCTTTCAGCCAAAAGTCGGCCACTTCCAGACTCCAGAGGACCACTTCATCCTTCGGAAGCTGTTTTGGAGCTGTTCGTCGGTCTGATGAGAATTCCTGCTCTTCCTCGATCTCCGGACATTTCCTTGCTTAAAAGTCTATGGAAGCATGTAGGCAAAGCGACTCCAGGATCTTAGTATACTGAACAGACTCTGGTGCCACTAGCACTGACAAAAAGGCGAGAGTCAACACTGCTCAAGATCATGACCGCACTAAAACACCAATCTGAATAGCCCTCAAAAAAGGGAGGACTATCGGTAAGTCTGCTCACTGGAGCTGGGTGCTTTGTGCTGCTGTTGGGCCTGGCTGAAGGGGACATCAGAGAAGGTCCTTCATTATTTTGTGCTATAAAACAGCACTTGGGACTTAGCCAACATATATTCAGCCCCACAACCGAGGCAGAAAGGATTGAAATACTGTGGTTACACACAAAAATTGGACTCAGTCATCTGAAAAATAATCCATGTTAAGTCTAGAGGTATTAAACTTTAAGATTTATAATACTGGAAGTCCCATTATGGGGATTCTGGGACATAACTGCACTTGAAAGCCTGAATTCTTCACTACATTGGGTTCTACAAGCTACGTTTCTGCATACTATTAAACCCAGTTAGAAATAATTTTTTTCCGAGGAGGGGGACGCTTATTGTCTCCAAACATGGGCAGCTTGTTGACATATAAAACTGTGCTGGTTAGGCACGTTTGCATTTACATTTCATGAGATTTTTCTCAGGGCTCAGAGTTTCATGGTCTGTTTTTGTACTGGGTGCTTCCAAATCAGATGTTCAGATCATGGCAGAATGGTTTGCCGTAAACAGCACATCTGAACCGTTTCCTGCGGCTGTCTGCCATCCTCAACAGTACAGCTGGTTCTGTCAGTCTCCGTGGTTAAGATGTGTGTGGCTGTGTGAACATGCATCTTCTCAAATAGGCTTTCGTATAGAATGACAGAATGTGTACACACACTAAGAATGGTGGGGGGAAAAAAAAAATAAGGCCACATCTTCCAGGATCCCAGGAAGTTCCAAAGGATCTGGAGGAGGGAAACATTTTGGACTTTAAAAAGCAGCACGTACCTCTATCTAACATACAGCATATATGCGCCAAATGCCTACAGTTATCTGTTAGGCTGTACTCAACTCGCTTGAGACTCAGTGCATTAAGTGATGTTCAGTGTCCTCACATCACCTTACCTGAGAGTTACATATGGCTGACTGGGTTCTGCCCCTCTGTCCCCAGCCCAGGGTGTCCTGACAGCTGCATCTGGGGGTCAATCACCCCTGACACCTTCTCCTCCTCCCGCCGCTTGAGACACGCAGCCTTTGGGTTTAGATTGCGTTCTTTTGGGAGACACACACAAATTGCAGGGTTGAGTAGTATCTCTCCACACCTCGATAGTAATACGGAGTGCATACAATACAGAAAGGGCAGGAATTCACAAGCCAGCCCAAAGATACTGGGTGAACAGCACAACATACGTTTTATATGCATTGGGTGAGTCAAAGTCGGCAAGGATATTAATGACTGCATGACGGAAGCGGAGCAAGGAACAGTGATGAGGCAGAAAGACAACCAGTCAGTATAAAAAAAAAACAACAAAATAAAAACAAACCAATGCCCCCCATTTCACAGTCACATTCAATATATTTTCTGACATACAGCAGATAGTGAACTGAATGGCATGGGGACTGAAGCCAGAGGTAGAGGGGCAGCAAAGGCAGAACAGACAAGAGCGAGAGACCGACAGCGACATCTTCAGCTCCATGCCGTATATCTGTGTGGCGGCGCCGGCCAGGGCAGCGCGCAGGTATGGCGGGGAGCCCTACCTCGCACCTGCTTCTCCAGACTCAGAATGACCTGCACGGCCTGCTGCAGGATGATCAGCTTGGTCTGAGCCTTGTCGCTCTTCAGGTGCGCCTGGCACATGCGGCCCAGCTCCCGGAAGGCCTCGTTTATGTCCCGCACGCGCACACGCTCTCGTGCATTGTTAGCCAGGCGGCGCTCCCGGTCCCGCTGCTCCTTCTCTTCTGCCGTGAGGCCCTCATCTGTCACGCTGCTGCCGAGTGGGGGGGGGCAGTTAATTACTCCCAGAACTTTACCCAGCATGCCCTGGGTCTGCCCCACACCAACCAGTGCCATGAAGCTACAGTTTCGGCTAAGTGCACCGATACGATTCATCTTCCAAGGTTCAGAAGGCATAGCGAGAAAGGAGGCCTGCCTTCAGACCCTTTACAGCGACTTACAGCCACCATAAACAAACCGCTACTTCCTCGTGGGGAGCACGTGGAAGGATGATGTTCCAGAAGAGGAGGAAGGGACGGGAGAGAGAGCAGGGCAGGGCCGGTCAGCCAGTTGGAACCCGAACTGGAAGGCCTGATCCAGGGCTGTGAGGAGCTTCATCTAATACGATTGCGTTGCTTATGCCGCTGCATTCCACATCAAAAATGGCAACGTCGATATCATCTGGCGAGTTCTGCCCGATGAGAGTTAGTTTTGCAAACGTTTTCCTAAAGAGTTTAGCGTTTGACCAAACCGCTCAGTTGAGCCCGAGTGTTAGCCACTTGAGGCCAGGAGTTTTAAATTGAGACCGGGAGTTTCTGGGGGCTATTGGGGGCTGCGAGGAGGGAAACGCGGGCATGAAGAGGGCAAGAGAGAGGAGGCGTGGAGGACAAGTGCATATGTAAAGCTGCGGGGAAGCTGAGGGGGGAGACAGAGCCCCAAATATACCAGCGAGGTATTTATTGGATGGAAAGGCGAAGCTAGAGCCAGGACACAGGAAGACACTGAAAAAAGGGAGAGAGTGTCAGTAGTACAGCTGGTAGGATGTTTGTGTTTAAGAATGAAACCAGAATATGTGACAGACAAAGGACCAAGCTGGCAGACAACTCAAAGCTGGTTAAGTCAAGGTAAAGGGGGAAAACAAGAGGGCATCCTGCTGCATCTTCCCCATCCTCAGCAAACTGAGGAAGGCTGGATGAACGTGTCACAGGCAAAAGGCGAAGGTGCGTGTATGAGAGGATAAGGTCTGTCAGTTACACATGAGCTGCTGGAGGAAAAGGACTCTGGATGGAGGACTGACATTCCCATGCAGGGCTGCCTGCTCCCAGATGAAAGTGGGCGAATGCACCAAGACGGCATGCAGGACATCATGCATGCGTCGTCACGGGAACTCCCAGTGCTTCAGCCTGGACTTTCATCTTGCCGCGTTCTGTGGTCGTGCAATGGGAGGCGCCGTAGTGGGAGGAAGGAGGAGCGAGCAGGCAGAGGCAGGAAAGGCCGAGCGAGCACACGCATACAGTACACACAGTGAAAACAGCCCCATGCCATTGGGTTCCGGCCCGCCCCCTGTAGGGGGGCAGCCTTCGGCTGAATGCCTACGCCGGCTCGGCCAGCAGCCCCACTGACCTCGTACTTGCTGCTCCAGGTTGAGTATAACATTAACGGCCTGGTGCAGGATGAGCAGCTTGGTCTGGGGTTTCTCGTTGCTCAGGTGCAGCTGGCACATTCGGCCCAGTTCCTTAAAGGCCTCGTTGATGTCGCGCACCCGCAGGCGCTCACGAGCGTTATTGGCCACCCGCCGCTCTTTCTCCCGCTCCGCCTTCACCTCCAAAGGAAGATCCTCATCGTCATCGTCATCGTCATCGTGATCGTGACTAACAGGGGTTGGAGGCCAAAACCAGGCAGGGGAAGGGGTGGAGGTAAAGACAGGAAAATCACCACACAGACCAACACCCCTTTGCGATTCAAACTCCCGCCAGAACACCATCTCCATATTAAGACATGGAGTCGCTGTAGTGCACCAACAGTTGTGAGGCTGCAGTTTCCCTGGGCTTAGTGCACAGACACCCCTCCTTTATACATTACCAGTGCTCAATAGCCTATTTTGTCACTGTATTTTCTTACTCCTCTGGGGAGCCACACAGGTCAGGTGTCACATGACAAGTAGGGCATTTACTCTAGTCCCTGGCTTGAGAACACCTGGATTTTCTGAAAGGGAAATGCTTCTCTGAAAAATCAGCATACACCATGTGCTGGTAGATTTCCAAAAAAAAAAAAAAAAAAAAAGATGCAGTACACATACTACAAAGGCTATCATATTCCACTGAAACTTCAGCACCAGTTTAACAGTGATGCATAAAATGAACAGGGCCCAAGGCACCAATGACCTCAGACCATCAGAGCAGCTACCTCATTCTGGCACGCGGCCCTTTAGATTCCTTTCGGTCATCTTCAGACTTATCACCAATGGAGGCGTTCTCGTCATCCTCTTTGTCCTCCCTCTTGATGTTGGAGCTGCTGGAGGAGTGGGAGGAGTGGGAAATACCACTGGGCAGGTCTGAAAGAGAAAACGGGTAAATGACAACCTTTCCCGTCATAAGCAGACCAAAGCCAGTAGTGAAAACTGGCCACACAGAGGCAGGGATGCACACTGGGGTAGCTGGGACACTTACTGGGAAAGGAGTCCGGCTGACTGAGCTCAGGAAGGGTGTTCAGCTGAGTGGGAACAGATCCACGATGTCCGTGTAACATAGTACCACCAGAGGGCAGACTCGGTGGGTCGTCATGGTGACTTCCAACCTGCGAGTGAAGGCGGATGACAAGGTTAAATGGGCAGGCCCCCCATTTCAGCACTGTAATCTGGTCAGGGATCACGCCAAGGCGCGCGGCAAGCTCACCATAGCCGGGTGACGAGCACCAAGGCCCAGGCTGGCACCGGCAAAGGACTGGCTGCTCAGCAAACCGCTCATGTCGCTCTGATCAGCGTGGGCGCGCATGACGTGGATGGCCTCCTCCAGGTGGTCCTCCAGCTTGTTCTGCAGCAAGGAGGACACGAATCAGAGGGAGAAAAACTTCCATGGAATAAGTTCATCCAAACGGCATGACGCGTTGGTACTCACCAGTGCGTGCAGCCCGCCCTCAAAACCAGGCGACAGGGACGACTGTCCGGATCCCCGCGACCACTGGGACACTGTTGCCGAGGATTGAAAAGGCATCCGATTTAGTGCAAAAGTACACAGCATTCAGCAAGACCACTTAATCTACAGGTGAGAACAGGAGAGGTCAATCGAGACAGCTGGGCAAAAACAGAGCTAAACTCAGCAGCGCACCAAAAAAAGACCAACTGAATATGAAGTACTACTTCAAAGTACAATTCACCTTAAGCACAGCAGATGGCGCTATAGTCTTTAAGAGCACTCACTACTGCCAGCATAGCCAGGCAACAAGATTTCCTGACTTCATTGTGGTGCCTTCTGTAACCTGTTGCTCCGTTTTGTTACATTCCAACTTTCCGGGAATTCCATCATAAGCACCGAAGAAACCCTCCCCTGAACCTGTCACCGAATCATGACGGAAGAGTGCATCACGGGTACCTGCGATGTTCTGAGGCGAGCTCACGGGAGTGGTGGGGCTGGACGGGAAGGTGTTTCCGTTGGGGTCAGAGGAATAGATCTGTGCACGTTCAAAACAGCTAGCATTAGCGCCATCATCAAACATCTGCTGTAATAAATGGATCGTCCAGCAGGGGGCAGAATGAAAATGCAAAATGTTTCTCTCACCGAGGCTAACGCCTTCCCAATCTCATCCCCTGAACTCCCGGTCACACCTCGATTGACTGGGGAGCAAAGGCAACATACAATAATGCAGAGCATGCAATTCCACACAGTTCTAAGGAATCTTTCGGCAGTGCACGATGTCTGTGGCTTGAGTCGTGGGAGAAATCACACAATTTCAACAGAGCACATTCAGTGTTATAGCTGTAACGTTAACTTTGCATGCCGAAGTGGATATCGATATGGGTGCCATACCCAGAATGCCATCTGCGCCACTGACGGGGGGGGTGAGATTGGAGATCCCATAGGCACCCGAGCCAGCGTGACAACCAGAGGTTAAGCTACCGTTCACCTCACTGCCGTGGAGGGGGTAGTTCTGTTGGGACAGGGCAGGATGCCGCTTCTAGGGGGGACAAGGGGCACACAGGAAGTCAGAACCATGACCAGTCTCAATGCCAGCAGAGCAGGTCTGAGGAGCAGCTCTGTGCTGCTGCAAGGCTACTCACCATCCTGTCCTGGGGGCTGACCGCAAAGGGGCCAGGCTGACCCAGCTGAGGGGAACTCCCCAGCACAGAAGGGAACCCGGATTGACCCAGTGATCCAGGCAAGGCCCAGGTGTCAGGACTGTCTGCATGAAGGCAGAGAGGAGACAATCATATTTAAATGCACCGAAGTCAGAGATGCACGGACTGCATCGTGGAATCACCGCACAGCCCGCAAACACCAACCTTGCATGTAAAAGGAGGACGGGTAGACAGGGCCAGGCTTGGAGCCAGGATAACCAGCACTCTCCCGGTTATAGTCCTCCCCTGACGAGGAAGCGTAGACCTAGAGGACACAGGATCTACAGTGAAGTCAACTCGCACCTGCTGTCACATTTACAACCACATCATGCTGCCTATTTGGTCTGACGGACTCATCATGCGGAAGAGGGTGCCCATGCCCCATAGCGGCAGGCTGGCCCCCACCAGAGGAGGGACGGTGGCGGAGCGAGAGCTGTGATTAGGCGGCTGCTTCTTATCTGCATTTTTAATCACATCCTGACATCAAAGAGCACGCAGCCCCCTCAAAACGCCACGCAATCATGTGGAGAATATGTTAATCGGAATGTGTGAAAGCTTTGGCTCATGCATGACTGGCGCAAAATGGCCACGCCCTAGTCTAGACAATCCCCACCCCCCGCTCCGGCAACTGTAGAACCCAGAACTGACTTTTCTTTGTAATTTGATTAAACAGGGAGAAGTGAAGAGAAGCATACAGAAATGCACTTCTAATTACAGAGCCATCTGCCCGTTCCTGGAGTCCGGCCAACTCCACAGGCAGCTGGCTCTGGGGGGAGGGGTGGGGGCGAGGGGAGAATAAGATGGAGGAAGTAGTAAGAAAAAAGAAAAAAAAAAAAAAAAAACAGACCAAGAACAGGAGAAGACTGCAGCAAGGGGGCAGGAGAGGAAGAGGGTCGGTTTTGCTTAATTCATCAAGCAGACACCGAGATGTAGAACGGCAAGCAGTAATGCTGCAGGTTTTCTGCTCAGCCACCAGGGGACGGAGATTAAGACTGAGCAGCACAGACTCTGTGACCTTCTAGAACCAGGCGTCCGGCCATTCGGAAGCTCTCAACGCTGCATGGAAGAATGACTAATGTAAGGGCTGAATCGGTCCCCTTCATACAGATACCAGCTTAGCATGCGCCAAACAATCAGCAGCCTAACACAGAGCTTAGGAAGAAATACAAGAGTATTCCAGACAAGAAAATAGCGAAGCAGATTCTGCCTAACCATCAGGATGCAGGTATCAACACAAGTTTTAAGCCTGTAAGTCAATCAGCCAATTACAAAGCAGTGGTTCTCAACTCCAGTCCTGGGGACCCACTGTTGGCTGATTGAGAGGTCATCCCAAAAACCCGCACCGACACCGGCCCTCCATGGATCAGGGTTCCTACCCCTGCTATAAGTGAACACAGCTTACTGCATGTGGCAAGAGACCACATGGGCAGTGTGGGTAGGGATGGACCCACTTGTGGGGTTTGTAAAAAAACGTGCCCCAACGAATACCCTCACTAAGCCTCTTCTCCCTCCAGCATCATGGCTGAACAGACCAGACCAACTCACCGAAGATGGAAGTCCGGCAGGAACCTTCCTCACTTTTTTCACCGGGGCTTCTATCAACGAAAAGAAAGAAAAAAAGTACGTTTATTCCATTAGTCTATCCATACATCATACAGATCCAAGAAAAGGTCAGAGACTATCCAAGAAAACACAAAACATGAGGCAGGGACACTCTGGATGGGATGCTGGCCCAAAGGACACACTCTCATACACCATGGAAATAGGGCAATTTTGACACTTTGCTTCTCATATTTTTGAACTGGAGTCTCCACAAAGAAAGGGACAACAAGCTGAAATGCACAGCTTGGTTTGATCCATTAGTCACTGTGGGAAAGAAATATTGTGCATCACTGGAGAACAGCTTACTTCCGCTATGAGATCTATCACCACCACTACTACTGCTCTTTATTAATTCCCTGTAGGGAAATTCTCTTTTCACCTAACCCTTCCTGCTCTCCAGACACATACATAGCTGAGAGGATGGCAGTGAAGGGCAGCCTTCTGCAGCAGAGCCCATAGAGCTGGCGGTTATGGGCCCACAGACATAAATATTCTGCCAAGGTCGGCCTCGAACCGGTGACCTACCCAACTCGGGCACAGAGGTCCGGCCCGCTGAGCCGCCCGCTGCCCCAAATGGACACACACTGGCTGTCACTATTCACCTGGCGCCATTTTAATCTGAGAAGCTGCCAGTTAGTACGGAGGCCGTCTTCTTACCGATAGGGGTGTCCAGAGGGCGTCTTCTTGGGTTGCTGGGGCAGGTGTAGTACGGCGGAGCCTTGAGCCCTGGGACTGACAGGGCGTCAGGCCCGGGCATGACCATGTCGCTGGATAAGAAGCCCGGCTGGCGAGGGCAGAGAAGGGCAGCGTGAGAGAGAGGACAGACCAAACTACTCAACACCGATCTGCAGGTCGCCGCGCTCACCTGAGACACGAAGGAAGAGTAATGCCCCCGCTCGTTTTTACCTGGAAGAGAGAAGCAGACATGACCACAAGAGGCAGTGAAGGCAGTGAAGGCAGTGAAGGCGCGGCGGCCCAGTCCATTAAGGTACCAGGTCAACATCGTAAGCAACAAAAAGTACCACCTGACAATTTCACACACTCTCATAGGCAGAAATTTTCACGGAACAGACAGATGTGTTACTCAAGGCTACAACAGTAGATTTTCTCTGAACGCGACATGTAGACCATCAGCTTCTGCTCTTAGACCCATTAAGGTGCTCCACTGTATTGGGAAATAAAACCAGAGCCAAGAACAGGCACATGGACGCAAAGGGAAACTGCCGCTTTGCCGTGAGGCTGGAGTTTGTGGAGTTTCATTATCAGTGAATTCAGTGTCTCCACATGCGATGCCATATTTACGCATTCAGACAAAAATGCACCTGACAAATCACCTCATTAAAAACAGTGCAGAAATAAACACCACCCACCCCCCTCCAATCCTGTCCTGCCTAAAGCAGGAGAAACTCCAGGCCAAAGCAAAAAAAAAAAAGCCCAAAGACAGTTCATACTCTGGTGCCCTTAATAGACCGACCCCTTGAGAGGGACAGGGGATGAGGGTTCAGGTCTAAGCCATTCATCCGGCCAAACAAACAGACGTCATCCTGCTCTACTTAGGGTGTTCATCAATTCACTTTCTGGGTGAGTGGACGTGGGGCAAGTGGCCTAGCGCACCAGTGTGGGAGAAGAGGTTACTTGGAGCTGCGATGCTGGGTTAATTAACTTAACAGGAGACAGAAAGTAGTTCAGCCAGCATACCAACAATCCCAGCACTGAGGAAAGGAGAGTGAGGCAGGCCATCCTGTTCGCCGTAGTGGGGGCTGTCACCAAAACCCTGCGGGGACAGAGGTGCACACATCAGGACGGATACGACCAACCAAGCAGCCTCTGCTTTCACAGATAGGGCAGGAAAGCCTCACCACTGGTTTTTACCACTATGACATGTAATTCATAAACTGCTGATTTTTTTGTTCTTGTTAAGCACTAGAAAGTTGAGTGAAGAATCATAAATAAAAATAAGTCAAATAAAACAAGTTCTCTTTATGCATGTCTGACATCCTATTAACTGGTTGTCTGGTGATGGTAGTCAAATTCGAGGCTGTCCTTTAACTTTACATGCACTAGTTTAAATACTGCTCTGTTTCATGGGAGACAATGGTTAAGTCCCTTGTAGAAAGAATGCCTCAAATTGTCTCTGCTGGTTACTCACGAATCAAAGATATGACATTCTTACTAATAAAAGGTGCTGAAAGGGTGAGCATATTGTAAATTTGTTCGTAAAAGAAGAGTATTTTTAGTAAATGTTAAGAGTAACATTTAGTAAACATTTATACATCTCAGCGTGTGCAAAAAAAATTTGACTGGTAGTGTATTTCCTTAGCCATACAAGTGCCATCCAAAATAGGGCTGCATGGCAGTAAGGATCGCACTCAAATGATTAAAGTTTTGTGTGGAAACCTGAGTATTTACAGGTGAGAATTACAGATTAAAGCAAACTGCAGTCAGGCAATTTTTTTTCCCCTCCCACCAAAGTTAGGGGATTAGCTTTTGGCCAAAATAACTTGTCTATGAAAACAGTTACATAACAAAACAGGATTCTAAAGCTAAAACCACTGGATTCTAGCCCTAGGCAGAACAAGGATATTACTATTCATGTAACACTGGCTTTTACCCGTCCATGAGTGAGGGAGCGGCTGTTCTCGTCTTCCGGTCCCCAGGACCCCAGGCTGTTACGTTCCTCCACTGGATGATATGCAAAAGGATTAGGCTGCACATCACACACAGACACTAGACAAACACGCAAACACTTGTTGCTGAAAATTGCAGCATGTAGGGGGGCTAGAGGAGACCATCTCGGGCAGCATATATCGGAGAAAAACTAGCATTTCGCATCCAGGTTAAAAGAAAACAATTTGCTTACGCCATAACCAACAAGTCGTAATCTTATTAATGACTAACAAGTAGTTTACCTTGAAGCACATAGCCTGAAGTATTGCACCTTACTTTTGAAAGTCAAAGTAAATGCTTTCAATAAAGGCAAAAAAAATTTGAACTGGGTCTTTAGATCGTGACCCTTTGCAACCGTAAGTAGCCTAGGAGCTATTTTTATTAAAATCTAACTCATGAAGCAGGGCATGCGAGTAGAAGAGGTGGAGCTCAAGATCTCAGTGATTTCAGTGGTATCCCACTCAATCATTCTGGCACCAGTAACAGAGTTTAGTCAGAATTTGAACTCATCCATCGTTAACTCAGACTGTGTATTTGGGACGACATGGGACATGTTTTGACTGTCGCTCGTGGCCCCTGTGCCTTTCACCACTTCCTGCTAACCATTATGCAGCATCTCTGACCAATGTCTCTCAGCACGTCTACGTCCATCGCTCCCATCAGACTTAAAGGGAAATACAAAAAAAGGAAAACCCACAGTGCATGCAGCCCAGTGTTTCTCTATAAAAGCAGGCTGAATACTAATTGCTGGTACAGAAATTTCTACGCCTCCCTCCGCCACATTAAGCTCACCATGCCTCTGCAGAGAGAGGCGGCTTAATTGCACACTGATTTGCATAATTGTGCATATTAATTTAGCTGCTGTATGAATATTCATGTTCTTTTGATTTTTTTTAAATAAAAAATAAAGTGAAAGGCTGGGGGAGTGAGCGGGGACTAGCACATTGTGCCACCAGCAGTCATATGGCCACTAATCAGCTGTGCAGAGCCTGTTAGCGTCACGTCGCTATTATTTCAGGGTTAGAAACACCAGTAACCTTTTCACCAGCAAGGTATTGGTGGTGGGGCACTGACAAAAAAACGAAAGCGGAGGAGCGTTCAGAGATACAAACCAGTCCGGACTGCCTGCAGAGAACAGCAGTGGCCCTCCAATAGCGACAAGCAGAAAAATGGCTAACGACTCAACCATCAGCACATACCAAGTGTGTCTGAAGGCGTGGCGTAGCCCCTGTGTGGGCGATTACTGACAGAGGCCCTTAAATTTAGGCTACAATCAAATTAGGGGGGTGATGACTAGAAGGGGATGGTGGGAAACTGCTACATTTCCATGCTGAAAACCCCATCGTGTAGACAATGGAAACACGACTACTCTGCATATACTTGTTCCACTGAGAAAGAGGAAGATGCACCTTAGACAGAGATAACGGCCACCCTCCACATGAACTGAATTTAAGTTTAATTTATTTTTTGTAGATCCTATTTATCTAAAGCAACATTCTTTGATAACACACCATCAGACGATCCCTAGAGCTTTTGGGGGGCCCAACTATGATATCAGTCTGCTGATCCTGGGTTTTGAACCTATGACCTTCCAATCACAGGTACAGCCTCCTAAGTGCTAAGACACACACCAAACAGGACTGCCTCTTCAACTTTGTAGGAAACCCAAGAAAAAGACACCACGATGGAGGCAATATTGTGTCACAAATGGAATACAGTCAATTCTCTCACCAAAGGTAAATTTTCTTAGTAACATGAGACTCTTCTTTGCCTAGCAAACATGCAGCAAGCTTCAGGTCTACACGTGGGACCCCTCCAAACAACTGCTGCTGGTCTGAATGGGTCTAATGGGCCTGGCCCCTCAGGAGAGTTTGGCACTATAATCATATGTGTGACGTTCAGCACACAGGCTTACAGAAAATGGGGGACAGCGGATGGTACCCAAGTCAAACAGCAAGGATTTGCACTCATCGTTAGGATGACAGAGGGCAATCAATAGCAGGCTGACCTCAATCAATAAGAACAACACGAAACATCCAGACTAACATCTAAATTAGCAGTAAAACAACAGTTCTGTCAGCAAGGTACCTATATGATAAACATCGATGGACATTTTACTGTATATCAGCTTCTGGTTCAGCTACCAACTATACAGTATAGAAACTTCTTGCCGACTTTTCACTTCTTCTGCATTTTTTGTGCCAGGGTGCATTTAAAAATACCGTGTAAGATCTCGGTTTCACTCTGTCAGTAAATGAAACCACACAGCCAGGTCCCAAAGGGAGGCACTGAAACTCCCCCTTGTGGTTGTTATTGCAGGTGCACATGATCCTTTTAAAATGAAACATTCAAGGCAGCATCATATAAACACCACACAGTTGAGTAGGCCTTACCGGTATGGTAACACTTAAATAAGTTACTGGAGAGTCAAGGAGGCACAGTAACGCTACCTTGGCTTATGTCCATCCAGACAATACAGAATTAACAGCCTTTTAAGATACAGTCAGACATCTCTCACTTTACATTGTGTATTTAGAAGCAAAGGAGTCTGAAGAAACAGAGCAGCTCATTTCCTGCCACCTACGTCACACTCAGAGTGGGACACTGACTAGGGTTTAGCAAAATAGGTTCAGTGGGACAGCAGCAAAGCCTCTTCCTGCCAGTGGTTTGATGGGGGGGGGGGGATCTTCCAATATAACACCATCTAGCTATCAGAGGAACAACGACATCAACTCAGAGGGGCACAAGAAAACACTGGAAGCTAAACAATTAAGGTAATGTACCAAAAAATTATTTGATCTTCCAGGAAGGAGACTGTCCCAAAATTGCTTTTACGCCTCTGTTGATCAATTTGCCTGTATATACACCTCTATAATGTAACAGTTTTTCTGCAGAGTGAGCTGGGTTGTTGAAAGTCATCCCCTAGCATGTCCACATCACTGGAGAATTTTCCAGATGCTCAGCCAGTGACACAGCTCACAGGAGATGGTTGTACTAGAAGCACTGCAAGCTTCGCCTCATCGTTGAACCAAGCAGCAAGCATGTGAGGGGAGGAGTGAAGACGTTTTGGAAAGAAGATGAGACAAAAACCAAGGAGATCGGTCTCAATTCATATAGAGGCATTAAAAAACAATCAGGAAACGTTACCTGAGCCTACAAATTGGCTGCTGCCTAGCGTCATTGGCCGGGTCTTCCCGTTCCCCACAGGTGGAGCAAACGTCTAGTAGGGGCAGGGCAATTCAGAATAATCAACCATAAAGAGACTGTTAGCATGATAACCCAGTACTACACAGAGTACCCCAATACATCAACTCAACACACTGAATAGTAGCAGGTCACTGCTTAAAGTAATACAGGTTTTCCACTCCTGGGAAAACTAAAAGTGCTGGATTGTTTGCTACAGAAGTAAGCTTTTCAAGCAAATTTTAGTATTTAGACAAATCTCTATTACTTAAGACGAAAATAAATCAAGCTAGTTTTGGAAGGATTTTTATATAGATTCAACATCATGCTGGACCATTCCAAATTAATGAGTTTACGTTGGTTGTAGGCCCTTGTTCTGGTATTCTAGAGCAGAACATTTTGAGTTGTAATTTGCAACTAAAGGTAATCCACAAATCAAAAAGTGCCAGATTCATAATGGCCGTCTCATGTTTGGAATTTAATAAATCTTTTTGTAATTCTCCACCTGCAGCTCTTCACCAACTAGGAGCAATATGAGCATGTTGTCTTGAAGTATTACAGACGTGGACAATGTCATCCAACAATAAAGCATATCACAGACCAATCAAAACCAGAGTTGACAGATACCAAGAGGACCAATCAAAAACACACTTACCGTACTGAAGTCCAGCAGGTCACTAAGCTCCTTGTCTGTGCCCACAGCAGCCATTCCGTGTGACTGCTGCGTGTTCATCCCACTTGGAGATAACCAGCTTCCTTCTAGACACGACCAGAGGACAGAATCGGCCATAAGCAGATTTTCTTAAGCTTTACAAAAGGTCAGAAAAAATTAAACCAACACTTTTAAGATTGTGGCCACAGTATATCTACTCCTCTATACATTTTAGTCCAGGATTCCCCAAATCCGGTCCTGGAGGACTGGAATCCAACACAGTTGGCTCTGGAGCAAAGGTAATGCTCAAGGGCCTATTAGCAAACTGACCAACTAGAGTAAGTCAGCAAGAGCAAAGTGATCAAACACAATGACATTAAAAGTTTTTAAAAGGGTCACAAAAAAAATGCATCCTTTGGGAAAATCAAATGCCCCCATACCCCCAACCATCACTCAAAAACCAATACAACACTAAAAAGCGAACACCTTGTTCTTGTGCTAGTAACACACGTGTGTAGATCACATCTGTGATACACAATGATAGCCCACCCTAAATTGCCCGACACCTCCGTCAACCAGCTCTTCCAAGATAACACAGCTGTAAAGTGCTCAGGTAGTTATTCTCAGTCTGGATAAACATCTGCTTCAAAAACTACACATCTCAGTGGGAAACAGATACAGCAGTCTGTTTTAATATCGATAAGAATTTCCCACTTGGGATTAAGGAAGTATAGCCTATATCCATTACTAGAATTTTGAAAACTCCTCACACTTACACCAAGAGGCTGGTTACTTCACAAAAACACACTGTTGTGTTAATCACGTTTATTAACCCAGAAGAAAAAAAAGTTACACTGCATCAACAGGTGGTGCATTTTCGCACCTTAACTACTAGTCGACTAAAACCCACTCTCCAGTATTAAATTGAACCAACAAAACTGCAGCAGTCCCAGTAAATAACACGCAATGTTGGCCCAGGGCACCATTATAATTCCAAAAGTACTATAATGAATGACTAACCACTATGTCCATCTGAACCTTTGAATATGTCAGATTTTTTAAAAAAAACAAGTTTTCACTTTGAGTGCACCAATAGTCAACTTCAACAGGAAACCGAAATAATGCAAAAATTGCGGGTTAGTCCTGTGACAGCGTTATTTGACCGATGTGAGAAAATCTTAATGGTAAAATGTCTTCATATTTTCAGTTAAGGTGCGTGCCTGGTGAGTCACCGGGTCAAGGTGGACGTCGCGAGAGGTCCAGTCGCGCGCCGCCCGAACGCCAACGCCACTCACGCCGCAGCACGCATCGGCATCGATCGATCGATCGATCGATTAAAAATTAAGACGTCCGAGACCGCACACTCCAGACAGATTTCTAACATACTGCAACGTACGGTTAACGTTTCTCAACCATTTGTGTTTCGTGATGACAAAAATCTAAAATCCGAGCGAACAAAAATAAGCAGGTGACACGATCAAGTAGAAACTGAAAAATGAAGGGATATATAATTAACTTTAATATTAATACCTGACATTGCACTGCATATACTTCCGCTGTAACATTTGCGTTATAATTCATCGAAGAAAAAAATTCTTGTCTGGGGCTGTGTCCGTGTAAGTAAACCACCAATCACATATACATTAGCTCACCAAAATATTCAGTGGTATTTGATTAAATCAGAACCATTAACCACCAGCAGCCAGACAAACACCTACATAGCAATAAAACGCCTTTCGCGCAATCGCGTCTCCAATTTCCCCCCCAACTTCACATCGGAGCTTAGGCGACGAATTGTTTAATACCGACTGTGTACTAGCTAGATTCACAGCTATTACAAAAACATCCAAAATAGTACAGTGAATAATAAGGACCCCATACTCTTAAAATAACCCGTCGTGTGAGTTACACGGCAACAATCTCGAGTTTTGATTTAATCACCCCATACAGCTCCGTGAGATTTCACGAAAAAAAGACCGAATATTGGCTTCTCCGTACTCACCATTAGAGTACACAAGGATTATAGATGCAACGTTTTCCCCTTTATAAAAATAGTCGTGCAGCGCAAAAAACACCAATACGAGCTCTTAATTGAGGGCAAGCATGACACTGGTTTAAAAAAAAAAACCAAAGTTAAGCGGTCCCGGCTGGACCCACAAAAGTCTGCACATCTGTCCAATTTGCATTAAAGGGCTTGCGCGAGGAGGAGGAGGGGTGGGGGCACAAGGAATTTCCTGCCAAATATGCAACAAACAAAAGTCAAATAAAACGCTCCTTCGGAATTTCGACCACCTTATGTATTTCGAAGAATTAAAAATCACTTCCACTTTGAAGATAATACAAATACCTACGCAGCCATTATAAAAACAAAGTAAAAAGGACCGATTTAATGCATCCACATATTCCCAAAGATGTTTTTAAATTATCTAACATAAGCCACAATAATTAAAATATATACATTTATTCGCTGTATAATACGGTTTTACAGGCTGAAGGGCCGTCCTACTTATATTCGACCAACTTCAGTTTCTTTTAAACTTTAATACTAGTCTTCACAAGAGTGAACAAAGGATTAATTGCCACCTCGATGAAACGTACACGCAACTTGCAGAACAGATAAAAGTCCGATATCACCTATGAACAAACCCACGTTTAAAACTTTATATTTAGTTTTTTCTAAAAGTTTTATTTATAAAAGACTCGCCTAAACACACAACTATTCTCATTCCAAAACACCTGGCTTTAAGGCGGGCATATTTACCTTATATTAAAAGTCTGGCTTCGAACAGCAGAAAATATATGGACGGCACTGTAGGAATAGCGTGAAACTTAAAAGGGAATTCCCTTCAACGTTTCAAACTCGGCGGATTAACCGAAGCAACTGCATCCTCCGTTCTTCTATAAACGTGATTTGAGGGACAGTCCAGGGCGTTTATACAATCTAGCGTTTCTGCATCCACACAAACTCTACAACTCTTCTATGTATCTTTTTTCTTGCTACAATTGATACCATTTCATCTGCGAGGTAGACATCTTAACAACCTCCACATTGTCAGCCTCAACATTATATCCCTCCGCAAAAAATAAGGACGTTGTCACCAGCGGTGTCCAATTTCATACATTGAATAAAAAGTTCGACAGTTTACATTTAGGCAACGAAGAGCATATAATAACTGTATCCTCATACGCAGACTTATTTGTGCACATCGATTTCTCCGTATTTAGAAAAAGACGACGTTTAATTTAAGGATTCTCAAGAACTAAATTGGGTAGCGGAGGGACACAGAACATTAACGGGTAATGGAGCAGAGGCTGCGTGAGATGGAATGATAAACCTGCAGTGACCGGACCAATAAGAGTCCAAGTAGGAATTGATGGGCAGGTAGAGTAGCCAGTAGAATCACCGATCTGATATAAGAGCCAAACCCTCTTCCCGCTCGCTCTCCCATGTTGTGTTACTGAGGCTCGCGGTTGGGCTTTATTGAGGTCTTTTTAATGTGGTAGATAACATACTTGACCGGTATGCAGGTAAGTTTTCTTCTGTAGTATGCATTCGTAGGTGTACACAAAGCATAAAAACTCAAGCGTATGTCCTTCTTTCACTTTTTAATTGCGGTGTATGATTTGTTTTTCGGTGAATTTCACAGTATAAGGTCTACCGGTACCACACATTTTTTTAAATATAATTTGCCCATCAAACATATGGTAATATGTCTGAGTTTCCTAAATTACGTTACACTATCGTCCACACATATACTATAAATCTAGAGATGTAGGCTAATTAAACAAATGGCATAAGTGTTATGCCTAAAGCCACACTCTATCCTCCGACAAGTCATAAAGGATGTTTTATTGTCATTCAGGAAGATGTTATGCATGAAGCGAACGAAATGAGGTACCCAGGTCCCGCTACAGGTATCGATAATAGAAATAAAATCCAAAATAGTAATGCAATAAATAAAATGAGAAATAAAAAGATAAAAAAATAATAATTGTAATTTCAGGTGGACCAGGCGTTGGTTATCGTGTGTTGTTTTCTGAAGATATGTCTCAGTGATGGACAAATATTGTACTAATAGTATCTTCTTAAGCCTAACTTTTTGGTTAAGTTAGCATTTCACCAGAAACATACATATTGTAAGACACCAAACCATTTTCCCATAGTGTGCATTATATTGCATACTATAAATGGCAGTGGTAGTGAGCAGTGGTGCTGTAATGGTTAGGGAAGTGCAGTTATGATTGAAAGGTTGCTGGTTCGAATCCCTGACCAGCGAGGTACCGCCCCCAAGCACTGCTCCACAGGCACTGAATTAGCTGTCCACTGCTATGTTACAATGTCACATATGGGTTAAATACAGAGGACATGGTATGATGTGTCAACAATGATAATTTTTCTCTTAATATGGTTTGGTCTTACTACTACTAAGTCATATACAGTCAACCCTTCCACATCACGGGGGTTAGAGGGTTAGGCGTAGAAAAAAGATACAAGAAACTCTAGATACAAAGATGGCTGCGAGATATCACATAAGAGGCCGCCGTAAACAGGCTTGGAGTCCTCCAAACCACATTGTATTTGTATTTTATGCATTTGTGAGTTACTAAGCATTTTGCATGTGGTCTGCTGGCCGTCACGTCGTCTGCAGCTTTTGCAAAACTGCCAAAAAAATTGCATTTCATGTCTTATACCGACGCCACAATATATCTATACCGCGAGAGGGAAAGTCACAATGCAGAAGGGTTGTCCATAGACGTCAGAAGGAGGACTGACTAAATGATTTGGGATTTTTTTTTTTTTAATTGGGGAATCAGAATTGGACACTGAGGTGTGAGGAAGAGGAGAAAGGAGGATTGCATATCAGCATTCCACTGTGATTTGTCACAAATATGAATAACATATTACATTAAATTACATTGAACAACAGTAGTACTTTATTGTTCAAAATGTTTTGTCAGGAGTCTGCCATGCCAAGTAGGCCCTTCAAACTCCAGCCACTGTGACGACTAACTATGGGAGAAAACTTGAAAGGAATGATGTAACAATATGACGCAGCCTGGGAGAGTATACAGGCATCCCTGCAGCACGGGGAGGTAAGTCACTTACGGGACTAGGCTCACAGATGAGAGGATTCCTTGAGGAAAATGAAACAATGGCCCTCATTTGCAATGGAGAGGTGGAATTGGTTTTAAAAAAACATACTTCCCTTAGGGATTCACTTCAGGCATGCTCTGTCATGCATTAAGCAACTGCAGTAGAATCACAACTGTGCGTAATCTTACGGAAACCTGAGGCTTGCGCTACTGAATCACAGTTGCATAAATGTATATCTATGACAGAGTGGTCCAAGGAGGGAGAAACCACAACCCGCCAACAGGGCTACTGTGGCACAAATGGCAGATCATTTTGATGATGGTCTTGGGAGCAATGTGTCATGGCACACAATGCATGGGGTCCCGTATGGGTCTGTGTAGCCGTGGATTAGACACATGCCACAGATGCTCAACACATATGAAGCGGTCCACATGATGCGATGGAAAATAGGATTCATTGGACAAGGCAACCGTCTTCCATTGCTCCAAGGTCCTGTTCTGATGTTTGTGTGCCCATTATAGGCACTTCTGTTGGTGGACAGGGGTCAGCATGGGCACTGTGACTGGCCTGTGGCTACAAAGCCCCATACACAACAGGACTCGATGCCCTGTGTGTCATAAGACATTACTCCCGTAATCATCATCATAAATTATCTGCCATTTGTGCCACAGTAGCCCTTCTGTTGGTTTGTACTACACGGGGAAGCCTTCATTCGCATCTTGAATCGATGAGTCTTGGTCACCCAGCACCCTGTCAGCGGTTCGTGGTTTTTCCCTCCTCAGACCACTCTCAGTAGGTACTGACCACGGCTCACCATGAGTGCCCCACAAGCCTGGTCCTTTCGGAGCTGCTCTGACCCAGTCTTCTGGCCATAATGATTCGGTCCTGGTCAGAGTCACTCAGATCTTTATCCCTGCCCATTTCTTCTGTATTCAACATGTCTACTATGAGTACTGAATGTTAGCGTACAGTGTAATATATCCCAGACTTCGACATGCACCATTTTAACTACAAACTCAACATTACTTGTTTCATGTGGGCGTGGTCATAATCTTTTGGCTCATCAGTATATATACAAACACATAGCAGAGGCCCCACTACAGGCAACACACATCCAATGATGAGGAAATAGGAGCCATCATGTCAAATCACCTGAAAGTGTTTAAACAGCCACAAATATCATTTTAACTCCAGATCAGCGTTTCCCAATCAAACAGTCGGTCGATGTTCTTGCTTCCTCCCAGCACCCAGTGGGAGCTGTCTTTGAACATTCTCTCTAAAGGTGTTTGGAAAAAGTACATTACATTATTCAAGAATCGGAGTACATTCAATGTATTCAAGTACATTAAGTCTACACATGACATTCCGTATTTCTTCTGCATTCCCAGATAGCCTTGCATTGGGTTACTCTGTACTACAGAGACTTTATTTATATTACTAAGCACTACGAGTAAAGGTTAAATATTCTTACAGCAGGTATTGATTGGTCTGATGTGTCAAATTAGATCCTGCATTTCTCTGGTGTTTTTATTAATTTTGCCCAATGTAGTACTGAAATTGATACTGAAGAAAAACACTAAATTTGGTGTTCTAATGAGTACTAATAGCTAAGTACAGTTGACTATTTTATTCTAATAGTCTAATAATTTGTAACAACTGCTCAAATGTACTATACATTATTTGCAAAAAGAGTAATAAAATGCTAGTATGGATGAACAGACATGAATATTACTTATATACTCACATATATATCATTTCTGAAGACTGAATGGCACGGCGTGAGACTGTGTGTCTGGCTATTGATTTGCTGGGTATTTAATAAAAGAATGATTTATATCATAGGGTTAGGAACTTGAGTGAATGGGGGGTGTCAACCTGGACCCTTTTGGTGTCAGTGATGGTACTTGTCAGCCTTGTAGGCCGGTTCAGAGTAACAGCTGTGTCTGACGTGGAGTGCATGAAGTAGGGTGCACATAGAGGGTGGGGAAGTTAGGAGTAGGGGGATTAACAAAGGAAAAATACCACAAAGACTAATGAAACCATAGCGACAGACATACTTCATCAAATTGAAACAGTTTTATAAAGAATGACACTTTCCAATGGAAGTATCATGGATGAATATAGCCTGTAGCAAGTTAAAACATTATGTCATTTTCAAATTGATGTTAATTGACCAGTGGGGATCATGTGATCATTCTCATGTCATGACTTCAACCAAAGAAATAAAGTGTGTTATTGTATGCAATAAAATGTCATAATATTTTTCATTGTGATGCCAGTCTCTACAGGGAGAATGATTTAATGTCAGATACCGGGCATTTTTTGAACTAAGTGATTGTGCTGTGTTGTTAAAAGGGAGTTTGTGCCATCTGGTACTGCAAATGGTTTGGAATTCTTAATTTGTCTAGCCTCCTCACTCAAGAAGACTCTACAATGAGAAATATACAGTCTTTGGCATCTGGATTAGTTAAAGGCAGGGAATCCATATTCCTGATTTTGGGGTTGCATAATTCATTTTGTGCTTCACGCAGCCTCATCTTACAGCGAGTGCACAGCAAGCCCCATTAAATCTCAGCACAGCCTTGTCCTTTCTCCGACGGGATCCTCAGAGCACTGCTTTTGGTGAGGAAAGGCAGAACTGCATAGGACTCTAAAATGGCAAGAAACTCAGGCCCCCAAAATCCCAGCTTACCTGTGTTAATTTTCCATGTGCAGTGCAAGTCATGGCACATGAATCCATTCCACCCATTTTCTTATTGCATGTCCTGGTCTGGGTTGCAGGAGAACCTGGATGTCATGTCGGACAGTACAGGGCACAAGCGTGGGGTCATCCTGGACAAAATGGCAGGGACCATATACACACGCACATATATGCAGCGATGCCCTACACCATAGAGACCACTTGTGCAATATTAAGAATAATTTTAATAACTGCGCGAATTTAATCCCAAAAATGCAGTTTGGTTTTTTCATACCGCTCTACCTGGTGTTTGTTCTTCAGTGATATTCTTAATAAATGTGTTGAACTGGGGCAACGCTAATTACCACTTTTGTAACTACTTGTTCGCAAAAGTATAAACAAAGCCAGAGGCGATTGTAAAGGCTGACCTTGACAACTGCATCGCTGTTAGTACTGATTCACAAAAATGTGGTCAAGAGTAGATGGGTACCATTTAATCTTAGGGCCAGATGGAACACAAAGGATGGTGGCATTTGGAATGTTTTGTGACAGTGCAATGGATGCAAGGACCTTGATTCAGCACAGTAATGAATAATAATAATAATAATAATAACACCAACACTTAGATATAACACATATAATATGTGAAGTGGTATTAATGTATTCCTTTCATTTGTAGTATCTCTCAAAAAAAAATACCAGGCTAGTGAAGCAGTGCTTCACACAGTGATCAAAGACCCGGACATGTCAGCTAAACTGCTTTCATCTCAGGTGTGTTTAGGTCTGCCAGTTGTGCAACTAAGCATTTCATCTTAATTGCTTCAATAAAAAAAAAAAAAATGTCCATGGGAACGTTGCACAATTGTATGCTTGGCATGTTGCTTTGAAAGCATCTGCAGGGCATCAGGAAAAAACAGTTGCTCTGCAGATGCTGAAGTTGTTTTGCATTAGGCTTGTACTGGATTATAGCGAAGCACCTTCAGTGATACACTAACGAATGTGCCTGAGGTGTGCGGTTTTAAATAGCTGCTTCCTTTGAAAAACCAGAGCAACGTAGAGAAAAAGCATACAGGGGCATCAGCTGCAGCCCCAGACATACACATATGCAAGCATGCACACAAACGCAATTGTGGTTTGGCGAGCTAGCTAAGATGCTCGTCTTTTTTCTTTAGAGATGAACTGTATGCCTGTCTCCCAAAATTAAATACAGCATTTTTTTTTAGCAGGGGAGATGGATGGAAGTAGAAAATAACAAATTAAAAATGCAGAGACAGTATTTTCAGTTCTTAAATCATGCTTAACTGCATTAAAAGCTATATAGTGCAGCCACTTAAGAGAAAATCACATATGTCTGGAACTGCAACGCACAAATTTACTTGGATCTCCATCATTTAGGTTCATTCTTGGACCTTAAAACCAGGTGCCAGACTCACAGCTTCCTGTAAGATGAGCAGGGCAGAATGTCGACATCTTTTTTTGTTCTGGGTTACCCCAGTACGCCCGCCCACGCTTTAGGTACAGTAGGAGTGGCAGGAACTTCCTGTTGACAAGTGCAGACACCCTAACACTCTGTGGTCACAGGAGTGAGAGAGATGCCACTGAAGTTGAGGGGGAAGGGCGTTCGAGCACATCGAGTTCATTAAGGTTCATCAAACACGAACAAAAAAAAAACAGTAAGGATGGTGATGTCATGAGTCAGGCATTCTCTGTTAAGTGTCCCGATTCCAGTGTCAGGCAGCACGGCCTGCAGCCCTTCCCTAAACTTGCAGGGAGTCTTCAATGATGTTGCCTAAGATACACACACCTAACAGGCCTGTAGGGGGTGATTTGCAGCAACATGCCAAGACAGCACAGCCAACTTAATCCTCATGATATCCTGACAAGAATTATCTTCCCGTGCAGCGTTCTTCCTAGTGATGATGTAAGAATGACATCATCTAAGAAGGATCTGCCTTTTTAAGTACTCTGTCCTCTAAGGAAGCAAATATACCTCATTTAAAACCCTGGTTCAAACTCTGGATTTTGATCAGAGGCACTCCTAGGATACATATCTGGCTAATTAGATATGAGATAGATCAGTAAGTATTTAAATGGAAATTTAATGTTGTGAAGAATAAGTCAGATCCAGAGCAAAAGGAAATAAGTTTTCCTAAAAACAACATCTAACTGATCTGAACACTCGTAAAAAAAAAAAAAAAAAAAATCACTTGTACAGCTGGAAATAAGTTTCTTAGAACTGTCACCTGAGAACGCAAACATTTGATCAAAAGTTCAATCTCACCCACAAAAAAAATTATATCAGACTCATACCAGAGTTCGGAAGACTGTGTGTTGTGTAACTGACAGATTAAGAGTAGAACTGTAAAGACTGTGGGTGGAAGAAAAGAAGGTGAAGAAGAGAAGTGAATGGGAGATGGATTGGGGGGGTGGGGGGTCGTAAGCCAGCGTCGGCAGAGTGCTGCAATAACCAGCAGCGCCTGCCTGAGTTACTGCCCCAGCACGGTGACAAAGTGACATCATCCATCTTCAGCAACACAGCTGCTACCGCCACACGCTTCCTGCCAAAATACCTGACAACACCCCCCCCCCGTGTTCTAAGAGGGTTGTGTGTGTTCGTGATGTTGGGTCTCATTGTCCTCCGATTCTCAGACAAACCCATTTCGCTCATAATTATTTTCTGTTCATTTCTTTCGGTCCCCATTAAAGATGACTTTTTCTAAAGTCCAACTGCTTCAGACTCTTTCAGAGTCTTTATCAGACTTATTCCCCGAGTTGCAAACAGGCTGGTTCAATAAGTCTTTTATCACAGCACACAAACCACCAAAACCATAATCTGTCATACCTTTGTGTAGCCCCTGTGCCCCTCATTGACTTGACGGCCTCTGTCTTCCTGAAACACACTTTCACACTCTTGTGTCCAGCCCTCACTATGAATTGAGGAGGCGTTTGCATGCAGGTGTCTTTTTTTTTTTATCCCTCTTGCTCTTTTTCTCTTGTTTTTTCCCTTCCCTCTTTTCTCCCCCCCCCCCCCTTGCAGATTAGAATTCATTAGCAATCAAAGGGCCTCTGGAGAACCCAGTCTCTTAATTACCTACTCATTTGCATTTTTGCATATTAATAACTGCAGAGTTTTCACATTATTGTCGCAGTGTTTCAGAGCCGCCACGCCCTGGTTCTCTCAGGAGGGCGCCGGGGGCAAAACTCTATACTAAACCCCCCTTGCAGTATCCCCGCCCAGGGGGCGTGAGAGAGCAGACGACAGACGAGAGCGGCTATTCAGACAAGTGAAAAGCAAAGAGAAAAACTACCCATCAAAATATACCCCCGCAGCCTCACTTTGAGTGCGGCAGAGACCGCAAGAATGCTGAATGAGTTGCATCCATCCTCTTACGCTTGATTAATGCATTCACAGAAATGTAATGCATGCACGGATGAAGACCTCTTTGTCAGCTGCAACCAGCTAAGAGCCTGCTTATAGTAAAGAGAAGCAGCTTGTAACTGAAAGGAGAGAAATGGCAATAATGTTCATTTAACTCTGAGGAAGGTAAGTATCATGAAAAGCTGAAAATCCCAAGATTATAAAATTGGTGATAGCCTAAAAATGGCAAGGTGCAACAGCAACTGAAGCCGGCACTGTAGCACTTTTTTAACATGTGTGCTTAATGGTTTGACCAGCTGGCATGCAAACTCTCCTACACTGGGTTGTTGTTCTAGGGAACTGGACAAAGGAGGTTGCAAGACTGGAGTATCAAGTTCTTCCCACAAAAGGGGGGGTTTCATGTTGGTGTACTTTTTCTCCACCTAGTGGTCATGGTTGGGTGAAGCAGGTTTTAGTTTCATCTTAGTGTAGCATTAATTTAATTAAACTGAACGTGTTGCCACCTTGTGCTGATGTAAGAGCAGAAAGGGCTGCTTGAATGTGCATTTGTCTTCAGTTATTAATACAAATAAAGGCCTAGTGTTGCAGGCATATCCGAAATGCAACAATGTTTCCAAGTTGTTCCAAGCTTCCAACAAAGTTCCAAGCTTCCTGCCTTCAGTTTTCAGGAGTACCTCGTTCCTGAGAGATGATCTGGAATGTGGAAGCGCATGGTGGCTTTTAGGTGCCTGATAATTAAAAAAAAAAACGTTGACTTTACATGGACAAAATATAACACATGGACACAAAATTAGCCCAAATACCTGGATTATCCTTCGCATAAAACTTCTTCACTGAAACATAATTATGACTATAATTAATTCTTTAGGAGAAATGAAAAGGACAAACAACAAATGGAAACCACTTGATGATTTGATTCATGTTGGTTTAGTATTCTCATACACAATACATACCAGTCCTTGATTGCATAGTCAAAAATGCAGTCTCTTCAATCCTTATCCTTCCTTTGCAACAGACTTTGACTAAGTTCAAAAGATACAAGTATTTGTTAATAGGAGCAGATGTCCCAGTCTGAGACATGGGGAATCCTCTGTACCTACAGATTGTAGCCAGAGGCCACGGATATGCGGCCACTCGTCGTTCCCTCCCCAGTGAGCCTGTCTTGGCCTGTGGAAGCGTGGGATTGCACACCCATTGTACTCATACATTTCTATTGGTTCTTTACAACTACATTTAAAAGGCTGCTGCATATCTGGGCATGCCCAAGGACATGAGGGTTTTATCTATATGTTTGGTTGCATGTTTGGTGTAAGCTTATGATCCTTCCTGTGGAGGTCCACACAGGACTACGGTCAGTGATAGACCTGCTGCTTTTGGCAGTGTAGTTGGAAATGAGTCCTGGACTTACAGCCACTAATCTACTGCTAATACAGATGATGAATCATGAGGGCAACAACAGTCTCAGGTTTGAAATAACGTGCCGCTAGCCCTTCGGAATTGGACGAATGTCGATTTGTCGTTTATTCGGAGCTGTAGCAGGGGAGGCAGTGTTACTAGAAGCAGGTGGTAGCTGTTCTCTGCGTCGTGCAGATGTGGTTTGTGGTCTCAGGGCAGCAACAAGGTAGACATCCAAGACAGCTATTTCTTCATATCTTCTAATTTTTTTTTTTTAACATTTCCATAAAGTTTTTGTATATAAATCCTAATAATATCAGTACAATAAAAAAAATCGAAAAGAACAGTAATAAAAAAAAATCTGAATGGCTTTTGGCAAAAAGTGCTTCGTCGCAGTCACAGAGCCACGCCGTTCACTGGATGGGCAATAGAATACACCCTTCATTCAGCCTGTCCCTCACACCAGAGTCAGAGATTGGGGTCAAGGATTGGAATGAGGAACAGAAATATGAATCTAAGACACGGTTTTAGCCAATTGTCTTACTGCTCCTTTGGCTTAAAATTAGAAATGTGAAAATCCAAGGCAGAATGTATCCTCTGTGGTGAGTAACGCACTTCGGCCACCAACAGGTATTTATTATTGTTATAGAGTGTATTCGTTCTTATTTTAATGGAAGACAATTTTTTTAACCCTTCCAAACATAGGAGAAAATCAGGAGGAAACACAGGAAGTTGGATATGATGTATAATCAGGGGCAACGGTGGCCGGCAATGAGTGTGAACCATCTAGCCTTTGATGGCTTTTTAAAGCACCTCTGAGAATGAGTCTCTGCTGTGATCTCACAAAATATATGCATCAACATACAGAAACAAAACTACCATATCAAAAAAATGAGTAATGGATCGTACAGGATGCAGGATATTAATGAAGACCACCACTGAAGACCATCTTGTGATCACGGGACCCCATCTCTGTCCATTCCCTACATCAGGTCAGCACATGGACCCATGAAACATTCAATTTTTCTCTGAACCATTTCTGCAACTGCACACTCCCCAACAGAAACCCCATATGTCCTCCCTTTCCCTCAAAGTCTAATAATCGCTAATTTGTGCAAAACATTTGTTCCCGACTGAAGGTAGTGCAAACTCACAGACAGTGTAAGCAGAATTCAGACACAAGCGTAAGGCTAACAGCTCTGCTGTGACCCCATACTTTCCAGATATCAAAGCTCTGATGCTAAACTTGTTGTGTTTCATGATTATGGAAATTAATCATGCAACAACTATGACATTACAAAGCACCTTGTCATTCAGAAATCTGGAATTATGAATTATCATCATCTTTCTGTTTAAGACACACAACCTTTTGTTAAATAAGCTGTGTATTTTAGTCAGGATTGAAGCTCTATGTCTCAGCACTGCCTTCAAGTAATTTCTTCTGAATGCTAAAATTTTGTAAATTATCATAAATATCCACCTAAACTCTGAGAAGCATTCATGAGTTCTCTTGCCTCAACTTTCCTATCAAGGAACTCTAAGAGGATTTTGGCTCTCACTCCACTTAAGGCACATTCTCATCAACATCTCACTTATGCCGCTTCAGTCTTAGACTGGACAGCTGGAACAACAGTCCACCTTTAAACATGACCAGAGAAGCCCTTGTGTACACAAAGGGGCCTACTTCCATGCAACTATTCAAAATGATGCTTCTGTGATCTGTAATTACATAAAACATACCACAGATAGTCTACAATGAATTCCTACTGTCACAGAAAACCACCATTTCGCTTGGTGGTTTCTTTTTATGTGAATGTGATATACTTCTGTTATAATTATGTTACATTGTTTCCATACATATGTAACCTCTGATGTTCTAATTAGAATTTCCAGTAATGGTTTTTGTGGGTTTCACGTGGAAAAGCCATAATGTTGCTTCCCTCCATCTGATTTTAGATTTGCAACTTCTGTTACGTGTGACCGAATATTCTCGCATTATTGAAGCCTTAGCCACAGGTCGATAAATGTCTCCCCCTGCAGGATGCTACATGCACCACGCTCTTGGTTGTCAAATAAATTAACTCATAAAAAAATACCAGTGGTTTCTGTCTACACAAATTATTGCATGGCGCTAAAGGGAGGATACGATTTACGTTATGGTTGCGATCTTTATACAGTTGATATGGGCAAATTATTATAGTATGATGATTATTATAATATTATTATTGTTATTACCACAGCAACACAGACTGTAACTTGTAGCTTATAGTGAGAGACTTAGATGCTTGTTGTGAAAGTCCAAACTCATGGTGGGAGGGGCATAGCACGCTCAGCATCAGCAAAGCATTTTGGGAAATTTAGCCACATCTTCAAAGAGCCCATAAGAATAACGGCTCCTTTGTCCAGCTCAAAGAGACACTGTGCCTGGGTGGGTGGGGGTCTAGCTGTCACTCTACCTGTCCTCACAGGGTGACAGATGTGCAATAGTATGCAATATGTCTGTGGAGGGGCGAGGGCGGAGTTTAGGGAACCGCTGAAGAACCTTGATAAATCTTTCAGCGTCACGTAATTCCTGTTTGTGGGAGTCCGTACTAGAGGCTTGAACCAGCTAGACAGAACCAGCAGAGTATGCTGGGAACATTGTTTTAAACTAGGTTTCAGACAGGTGCCAGATAAGACCGAAATCATAAACTGCTGAACCTTTCACACATATTTTCTTTCTCTGTCTGGAAATAAAGACTTTGCCCCAACACCAATTTCAAGTGCTACCCAAAGGCAAAATGCAAGGTACAGTGGAATGTGGCAGGGGTGTGAAAAATGGCTGTTCTGTGTCACCAGGGATCCTTAAGGTCCTTTTTCAACCTGTGCAGAAATTAGTTTGGCATTTTACTATCCTACTCTCACTGTACTCTAAGAAAGCAAGGTAAATATATCTTAAAAAGAGATTTAAAAAGACTAAAGTTAGCGCCACAATATAACAGTATCCAGAGCATCGGATGAGCATAAAATAAAGATTTAAGACAGAACAGCTTGGCTGGAGTCATAGAAAAAAAAAGGAATTTTGGCTCAATAATGCCCCCCGGTGGAGAGACAGTGGTGGTCTTTGAAAAAAAGTCCCTACTTCTTTTATATAGAGTAAGAAAATAGAATCAGTTGGTTGATTCTCTCTGGATGGTAATAAGGGGGTTAAGTGACTGGTTGAGGTATCCTTGCATGTATGGTAATTTTTGTTCATTGACCATTAACCCCATGCATTAGAAATGTGGCATATTTTGCAATGCAAACTCAAAGTTGCGCTGGGATTTGTACCCAAGAAAAGCCCCCAGAAACGATTTCCCTGCATAGATTTTTGCAACCCCCTGCAAAAGTGTTGTGTCCTGCTGGTGCCTGGCACTCAGCTTTCCTGTGCTCAAAGCAACACAAATAAAGATAAAATAAACAGAAATGGCAGAGTGTGTGACTCCCTGATTTGGGTCATGGAGGAGCACTGGTGTCACTCACGATTGCTCCGGTTCAGCGTGACTCTGCTTGACAGTGTCCCCTCCCCTCCTGCAAGAGGCCCTGTACCTGAGAGCTGTGAGTGGAGGGAGGGTAAGCGTGACCCCAAAGAGGATCCGCCTCAGCAACCTGAACTGTCTCCCGTAGGCCTCGCCTCCCTCCACCAGGGGGCGCCTGAGCCCCGAGTGCATTAGGAAGAGGGGCGGGGCCCCGGGGGCGTGGCTTACGGCCACGGCGAGGTGGCTCTCCATCACAGCCGTCCTTCTTCAGGTGCCGGTGCAGGTGGTCAGAGCGGACGAAGGTCTTGCGGCAGCGGGGGCACTGGTAGGGCCGCAGGCCCGTGTGACCGCGGGCGTGGTTCCTCAGGTCGTAGCTGTGCGCAAAAGCAGCTCCGCACTGTGTGCACAGATAGGGCTTCTCACCAGTGTGCTTCCGCATGTGAACCTTCAGCTTGTCCTGCCTGTGGGAGGGACACACACACACACGCACGCACGCACGCACGAACGCACGCACACACACATTTGCACGTCACATTATTATGTAAGTAGTCTCCCTATGTAGGATTTATACAACATAAAACAAGGAAAACAGCAACTAATTCAGAACATCCCCTCCTACCCACAACCCCGTGCATAACTCAGGTCATCATGTTCCATCCAGCCCATGGGAAAAATGAGAACCACCAAGGCATCAAACAACAAGCAAACGAACAAATGCAATAACAACAACCAGGATTTGACCCTCGAGGGGCTCAATCCCCTGAACGAATACAGGATGCTCCATCTCTTGGGCCCCCACGATTAAATTAGTTGAGTTGGAGCAAGAAATATGTATGAAACTACAGGAAATGTCGCTAAATGGTTTTTATTTTTCAGGGGGGCTGACACAAATAATAGTAAGGCTGAAGCCCCCTAAAATAGGTTCTAGAACCTCCTAAAATAACTCAAGTTATTAATAAAGCTAATGGCTGTTTCCATGGTAGCATATTTCCCTCTCACAATGCGTCCAATCAGCAATTAATTAATTACAGAAAGGTAGCCAAATCTGAATGTTATTTCTAAACTGACAATTGTGCAACATTCAAATGAAATTGTCCATCCATCCATTCTCCATGACCACTCTTATCCACTGCTGGACTGTGAGGGACCTTGAACGTTTCCCAGAAGGACATGCAATGTAGAGACTCCAGTGCACCAAACTGCATGTTTTATGGCTACAGGAGGAAGCTGAAATTCTCAGGAAAAACATGAGCAAACACAATGAGAAAATGCATATTCCACACCCCAAACGGGGGTGGGAATCAATCCTATGCTAATTAGAGAATTTGTTACAGCAAACACTCCTGGATATTTAAATTCCTACAGTATATTTAGCATTGACATGTTACCAGCAGCCCTGGGAACACCGTCATAACATGCGGGGGAATATGCCGGAATTCCTCTCTATAGGAAGGAGCACGGACCTGCATGCAGCAACGTGCGACAGACGGCAAGCTCATGAGAGCAAGCAGAACGGCTTTGTTTATAATGCACCAAACCGGCAGCTGGAGTTACACATAAATTCAGGGCAGGATGTGTGTCTGAGCTTAATCTGCGCCCAGATGCACCATGCAGTTAAACAAGCGAGTGGCCAAGAAAACGGCAGAGGGGGAGGGCAGGATCTATGGCTGGGCATAGCCCTTTAAACAGAATGGCACTCTTATAGAGGCCAATGTAATTTATTACAGAGTGATTTATTACAGCACAAGGTGCACAATTGACCTTGATCAAAGAGGATTAAGGCTGCTGTGGTCCCAATGGCCACGTTTTGGCTCTAAACACCAGCCCTGAATTGTCACAAGTCCAGTGCTCCCCTGTTCCAAAAAACAAGTCCTCTGCCCTAGCAGCTGTGCCGTACTATATCGTTGTATCCAGGCTGTGTGATGTAGAGGGCCCCACAGGAATGGGGAGAGCAGTACTACCATGTTCATCAGGGAAATATGGGGGGGGGGGGAAATCATTCTAGCAGCAACAGCAGGAATGGAGATGGTCTTTTTGGTACTCCCGGGGGGAGGGTAATAAAAGGTATGGTAATACCACGGTAATGGCAATAAGATGGCTCATATATGCATATTCATATATCTGCTGTGTTATACAGCCTTTTGTTCTGTCAAATTATTCGTTCTAACCCCAGCACCACCTTGGTGGCAATGACAAGTACTACTGATGCACGGGTCGTCTCGTAACCCGCGGGTCGGGTTGGGGCGGGTAAAGAAATTGTCACTTTATTTGCGGGGCGGGCCAAATAATTTTATAAAAGCGGGACCCGCGGATTGGAAAAATACTCGATCCGCGCATCACTAACAAGTACATATGAAGGCAAATATGGATGCGTTTAATTTTACGGCACCATTGGTGTGTTGAATGGGGTGAGGATGGGTCTGGTACACACAGAGATGAGTGATAAGTCAATTCTATGTGTGTCTGCGTATATATATGGAGGGGCACGGATACCCCGTATGGTCAGTAAAAGATACCTGGGGGGGGGCTCTCTATTTCTAGCTACGCCTGTGTGTGTCTGTACTGTATGTGTTTATGTATTTATGTATGTGTTCATGTATAAATACACACATATACATACATATTTACAGCCACGGAAATGATGAGACTGCTCTATATTTTTAAACAATCTGCATTTTTAAATCCTGTTTTACTCCTGGTTCCGCTGGCAGAGGCTGCACTGTGAGGCAGGCTGCTTCAAGGTTCAAAGTGTCTAAGACAGCAGTGCACAAGGAGGAGGTGAAGCAGGAGACACTGGGAACGACCAGAAACCAGGCAGGTAGAGGGCAGTAGTGACTTTCTAATGCCAGAGATGAATGTTACCTAATCCAACAGTGCCTCATGAATCGGAGGGTGACGTCAAGTGACCTTCAAAAGGAATGGGAAACTTTAAGTGCAGGTGTGAAGTGCACTGCTAGGACAGTTTATATCAGGCTCCTGGAAGCAAGACTGAGGTCCCATAAAGTAAGCAAGAAGCCCTTCATTAATGAGGCAGGGAAGAACCAGGCTACAGTTTGTAAATTAAAAAACATGTTATTCACAGACACACACCCAAAAATTGAGAAATAAGTGCTGTGGTCTCTTCATTTGTTCTTTTGGGCCTGCATATACATGCACATACATACATAGCCACACACACATATATACACATATATATATATATATATATACATATATATATATATTAGGGCTGTTGAAATTAACGGGTTAACGCGGATTAATCCATCATCATGATTAATCTGATTAAAATTTTTAACGCAATTAACCCATCTGCAGTGCAGAATGACTCAAAATCCCTGAAATGTCTCTGTCAACCAATTTCGGGCAGTTTTGGTGCGTTCCATTTGCCCTGTGAGCTCGTATTCCGAGTCAGATTCCGGAGTTTTGCAGCCGGAAGTGACGACATGCGCGCTCCCGTTTCTCTGAGATCCAAGAAATATCTCGGAAATTCAGAAATTCAGAATCCAAGATGGCTGCGCTTTTTATCAACAGAAGGGAAAGTTGTAGTTTTATACCGTTTAAGCACTAATTCTCATTTGTGGCTCATTAAATCGGTCGCACACACTATACCGTCCAACTTATCTGTGGCCGTGTTGCTACGGAGTTTTATACATAAAGCACCGCGCATAATGTGTTATCAAGTGATATTGCTAACAATGGCAATTAACCGGGCTAGAACTGGATTCCATGATTAGTCGGATTATTTGTTGGATTTACGGTAGTTCGGGCTAATTGTAAGTGAACAAAGATAAAACCATTTAAATACGACAATTTCCGTCCGGCTAAGCAAAAAATCTTGCTCTTTGATATGGGTCCATGGTATTGCACTTCTGTGGCAGATGGAATGCATCCGACTTGTGTTCAAGTTGTTCAATACACGTGTTAAGTGCATATATATTCCCTTTTTTCTTGAGTCCGTTTGCTCATGCAAAATGAATTGTGATTAATAT